GGAAGCCTGAGAAGTGCCCAGGAAACTTCTGAGCTTCTGGAAGGAGCTAGGCTAGCTTAGGACTAAATGGGCGTCGAAGTGCGAAAACTGAGTACAATACTCATCACTCATCAGTATATGAAATCAGCTTTTTATAAGATTTTGTCATCTAGCGAAGAAATGCGCATGCTAAGACTACGCCACTTTTAATAATTGTGATCTAATTTTTTAATGAATAATTTAATTGTATAATAATTTTAGTTTATATATCATGGTTATGACTACTCTATTATACCTACTATTTTATGAGAAATTAGATTTTGTAATTAGAAAATTTATTTTTGTAATAAGTGAATTTATTTTCAAAACCAAGCAGCAAGAATATTTGGAAGTTGAAAAAATGTTGGCGCCACGAATTTTAAAGCCTTTTAAAATTTAAAAGCTTCATATTGTCCCATAGATAATAGACTACTTAAAACGAGAACTAAGAAAACCGTTCACCGCGTTATCTTATCAATGAAATAGTATACCCAAGACCTTTTTGTCTACAATTTGTTTTGCTAAGAAGCAAACAATGACGACTTGTTTAAAGCGATAAACAGTAGTTCCTGCTAAACAATATAAATACAGAAAAATATTTCTTGCTTTTATATACAGTCTAATAAAAATCACACATCGTGGTTTCGTTAAGCGTTCGCTGAATTGACTGCAAATCGATTTATATGGCATAAAATTTATGACCTATTGCCCATGAAGAAAAATTATCAGCGAAATATCTCAGCCTGTTAATTGATCATGTGACTTCTTAAATGAGTAAGTAAGTTTCATATTTTAATACATATGCTAAAGTTCTTAGCTACTTTTAACTTGATATACAAGTTTACAATTCCCCGTCTTTATCGCAATGAAAAAAGAACTATAAGTTTACGGTAGTATGTCAGTACAACCGTCTCGTGCAACGGGACTAAACTTGTATTACGATAAATCGGCCCTTGCTGGTAACTAATCTTTTCAATACTTTTCTAAGTATTAACAGTAAAACGTTTTGCGATTTTCCGCTTAACGTTTTATTACACTCGATAAGTTTTTTAAACAAACTTTATCGACAATTCACTGGTCTCGATATAGTTGAACTAGAGAAATCAAGGTTGATAGTATAAATAGATGACGCACCGAAGGTTCTGGTGATGTCGCAATTCGCAATGGCTGGCGTATCACTCGCGGTGCGCGGACGCCGGCTGCGCGGCTGGCGCGCGGGCTTTCGGCAGCCGACTGTTTTAGACTCATTCACTCTTACGCATGAATGAACAAATGCACGTGAACGAAAAACTGAAACGTATGGGACACGCTAAATCGACCTTGTCTAACCTAGACGCATTACCTAACTAGCTTTGTGATGTACGCTCGTAACAGCAGTGAATTTGTTATTACTACGTATCGATTATGAATGGTTGTTGCAGCTCAATTAAACATATATAGAAGTTGTTTAAACGCTAACGACTTGATGTAATACGAAGTAGCATATGGTAGAGATGTCAATGACTCAACAAAGTTTATTGTTCAATAGACAATAAAATGTGTAAGTTGGTGAAATAATTATAATATTTTGTCTCCGTTTTATTTTAAGCTGATAAAGCAAACAAGATTTTTTAGTAGGAAGATCTGTTAATTATAAGTTTTTAAATGATAATAATCAAATACATTATCTGCATATTTTAATTGAAGATGTTCAAGATATTGAAAAATTATGGCGTTAAATTAAAATTAACTTTGAAAGGCAATTTTGAAATGCATCCAATTATCTTTTCTTGGAATAAGGATACAAATTACTCATATCCTTTTCTCAACTCATAGTCGAGGCTTTTAAAAATAGAATAATTAATGTAATGTAAAATTAATTTTTATTTAACTGTTATATCAATTTAAAAAAAAATATCTCATATACTTACTGCACAAGTTGATAAGAAGCTTCTCGATTTTCGTATAATAAATACAATTTCACAAGAGTCAATTCACCATTTAAAAAAACTAATAATTTAAAAAAAAACTGCTTAATTACTACACCTAATTCCTGAGCCACGCGTGTTCTTCCTCCAGGAAGAGTCGAACGAGCTTTGAGCTAGATTTGTTCCGGGAGGCATTATGGGTCCGCGCATGCGCGCTGCTCATCGGGGCGTGACCTAGACCCTGAAAACACCACCCCTTCGCCCACGCAGCCATGGTTTCCATGGCAACTTCGATATGTGCAGCAAAAATGAAATCAAATTTCCGGGTAATTCACCAAAGGCACTGCATTTGCACCTCCCACTTATCGATCGATATTTTATAGGTGACTGGATTTAGGGAACTCGGTCAAAAGGGCATCTGGTTAAAACAATATTGCCTACTAACTATGCCCCTCCCAATCACACGCAGCCGGTATTGGTGTTCTGATGGTATAGTGTGAGTTGTGGCCTTGCGGATTCCATTACTGATAGCAAACAATAGCTTAAAAGGCCTTTGCTTTCACAATAATAAAGGTTACTTGTAATTGCCAACGCTACCCATCACATAATTAGAAGTCTTGGAAAAGCCTATATGTCACAGTCTGATACCGACCGAAATTTTACCAGATTATGCAGATAAAACACAAAACATATTTCGAAAACATCTGTATCCTTTATATGTGTAGACAATTATCAAAATCCGCCTACACACGCAATTGTATAGGTCAGTTGATGTGGGCTACAACCATAATCGTATTTCATTCATAATAGTCAAGAATAGCATCCAATTGAAATTGCAGTTATGCCAATTACAAAATAACCGAGAGTGTACCGATTTGGTTATCTCGATCTAGGTTGACTTTTCTAACAGGAATCAAGTGGTTAAATGGGAGGCAGTGCATATTATACTTTATGATCTATTTGTACTACTCTCTGAATTGAGAAAATCGCCTTGTCTATAAATAATAGATAAAGAAATGATGACTTCTACATCTGCCAACGTGTGAAGACACGTTCTGTACACGCAAGGCATCAGGGCAGTGTGAATTTCGTCAAAAAAAATATAATTTACAATTGAAAATATTATGGACACCTCAAAATCACAGAGGCTCTTTTATCTCTGCCTTTTAATAAATTTAAGAAATGTATTAAAGAAAAGCTTACTATAAAGTTAATGATTATCTAGTTACTAGATAATCGTAACTAGATTCTAGTTGATAAAAGGGCCTCGGGCTAGTGTTAGACAGACTACTTTTAATTCATTTGAGATATTTGTTTTAAAATAAGTGTTGTTTGATGATTTGCTATTTTAAAATAGTACCGAGAGTTTTTTCCGCCGGCTTTTTCTCTCGGCCTACACCATCTGGCTTCTTTGCCGATGAGTAGGGATGCCTACAGATTTAATGAAGTGGAATAAGTGATACCTGTATCTTATGTTCCATAATAAAAAAAAATTTTTATTTGATGACTCAATAATCACTAATAGAAATTCAAGGCAATTGAAAGAGATGATGACTTTAAGTTTTATAAGTAGATATTATTAATCATCCAACCAAACAGCTTATCCTCATTGAGAATCAAATTCCTTGTAAAAAGTTAAATACTACTAAAAATTTAAGAAAAATGTTTATATGATCTGGTCTCGGATTACTATATACAAAAAGGATTAAATGAAATAAAAACCCCAGAGTAAGTTTCTTAATTTAATAAAATTTCATCAATATAAGAATATGTCCGATTCCATCTATATAATACAAAGCCTTTAATGGTGAAAGATAAACAATAACCTTTTGTATCTTCATCGGACTACGAGGATTTCGACCATACAACATTTAAAGTTTATTTACATAAAAATCGTCTCAAAGAAAAATAATCTACCAAATTATAATTTCACTTTAAGACTCAACTTTTCAATGTTATTGTTAGAATGATTTTACTATTCCGGCTTCGAAGGACCACTTCCTTTCTATTCGATAACATAAGTTTAAACTGGTAATACAACCGAAAGTATAGAAAGTCATAAAAGCATTTTAGATTTCTGTATATCTTTATTTACAAATTATAAAATTATATACATGGTGTTGCCGTGGGTCTTCGTACATTTAAGATACACAAGGTTAGGCCACAATAAATACTAATGGAGTATTTACAATGATGTACACGGCCTAACTAGAATAGAACAAACAATTGCAAAAATATCATCCGTTCCGTCCAGTGATGACAAAAATTATTAAAATTTTATTAGAATCTTCTGAAGTTAAACAAATAACAGATGACTCATTAGGCTTATATTCGGCAGTGAAATCAGTGGGTAGAAACTAGGAAGTGAAAAAAACTGGTTTACTATGAGATTCTATTTTAGGGGCTAAGATGGACAAACAAGGCCTACGAGTGATTTATTACAATTTTCGCACAAATATCATTGCTTATATGAGAGCTAAGAAAGACGAATCATCAGTTGCACTCTACCGGCATAGATAACACATGTTTCAAAGTATACTTCAACTTTACAGTAGAATTATTACGAAAGCAACCGTTTCCTAAACAACAAAAAATTAAGGGTTTAAGTTTGACTTGTGGTTTGTCTGTGGCTAAACAAATGGGCCGATAGTGATGTTAGAAGCTGACGTGATCGAGATGGTGTATTAGCTACAAATAAGAACACAAGTTACAGCGTTATTAGCTTTTGGTTAGCCACGCAAAAATCATCACATTTGGTACACCCCTTAAAGAGCTGCTCTGATGATAGACCACGAAATCTTAATCTATTTAATTATTTAAAGTGTTTACTCTAGCAACGGAATCAATACATTATAAAAATTAAGTAAGCGACCAATGAACGCCTATTAAAATTCTGAACATTGACTGACATAGCATGCTGAATATTATGTAACACAACATGAATCACTACTATTTCGACGAGTTTCGGTTGTTTCATTTCGTAATCACCCTACTTGGTTAGTATTATAATCAATTCTTTATGCATACTAAGCCGGTATATTTGCTAACTTATAGATTCTTAATCTCATCAAGGATTTATAGGATCGCGAACAGTTTTTTCAATTCTACCATCAGCTGCCAATCAGTTTTGATAAGGTCATCACGGAAATAGTCTTTACATGCGTCAATACTGGCTCGGGATATCTGAAACAAAATAATTAATTAATTACTACTTAATTCTTCAAGCGCCAACTTTATGTAACGAAATAACCTTCATTATTTCAAAGGGCCATTTTACTTTCAGTTATTTTGTTATATATTTTGTCTCAATAGACAAAATCTGAAATAATATTTTTTTTATGATACTGGTACACGAGAATGAATTACAAAGAACTGCACAAGCTTTAAACAAACAACATCTCAATTTATATAATAATAATAAAAAACAATTTAATTAATTATAATATATCTATCAGTATGTCAAAAACCTAAAACTTAAGAATTCCACCGTATTATAAATCCCCTGTGCCTTTAAAATCTAATTACTTCACTATGAAATCATTATAAGGGGATCTGTAAAGGTGATAATAATTTGATCGCCATGGTAAAGCCATTCGCAGCATTATCAAAGTAATTCACCTCTACCAAACAAGTCCTATTCAGAACTAAGTTTCTCGTCCTAACCAAGTATTCTAGAATGTAACTTCAATGAAACTATCAGTGTAAAAGTAAAAATTCAGTACAAATCTTACATCCATTGTCATAATAGAAAAACCTTTACATCTAAAAATGGAAACGATGAATGTGCACGGCTTCATTCAGGTTGACCCAGTTTCGGCGCATTGATTCAACTTTCTGGGGCTGAATGGCATGACGTCATAGAGAAAATAGATCAGGTTGTGCAAGCAGAGAATTAGGTCATGACCCTCGCCTCACCCTCTGCAGCTTGGCAACGGGGAGTTGCCATTGAAGACCCAGCAACGCTAATACCGGTTGACGTCAGTGACGGAAATGTATATTTGAACAATTACCAAAAATATATAATAAGAACGATATGCCAAAAGGACGCATCTTACAAAATAATTATTTTCATATTTCAAAATGCGACATTGCTTGAAATAGATAGTCTTAATTATAATTGTAATATGAATTATCGCCTTAGAAACTATCAAACGTAAACAACTACTCCTATTAAGTAGCTTTTTTGAAAGAAAAGATTTGTTTGACCAAACCACTGAAAATATGAATTTAGGTTATTCAATATTTAGGTATAACATATTTTGAATATTAATATTATTACCTACTCGATTTTTTTTTTCATTTCGATCTACACTACCTCCTGATATCGTATAAATATTATTAATGAACTATATAAATGATATTCTAGAATGGAATACAGAGCTATATTCTAAAATTAAATCTAGTAGTCGCATTTATGTAGCAGGGCTTTATTCCTACTAAGTACTTACATTTTGACACGCAAGTAAATGTTTTTAACGTTGAAAAAAAAACATTCAACACTCTCACTCCCATGACTCTGCGTTGATGAATCAATTAGTACGGACGAAAATATATATTTAATTAAATTATTGTTAATATTAAAAAGCTTAAGAAAACCCCAAACTATAGTATTGTACTTAATACCGATAAATTCGATTAGTAACGAATAGTGAGACTAACACACGAATCCAAGCTTTACTGTAATAAAGTAAAAGCTAAAACGGCTAAGCAAGGAATGTTTTAACGTAGCATATGACCTAAAAAGTTCATCATTAGCTGTTCACCTTTAACATGGACTTTTAGGGCGCAGAACGAAACCGTTGAACGAATCATTAAGGAGTGGTGAATTACGATTTTTTTAAATTTTTATTAATAGAGACTTAAATCCACGCTATGTGAATTTGGGTAAAAATATACTTTTCATACATTAAATGAGGCTAACTATAAATTAATAAGAAAAAATTAATAGAATTAAAAATTTAATAGTATTGCTGTATTAGACGTTTTCTATATGTTTACAAGACATTTATAAAAAAATTACTGACAAATATGTATATACTATCTTCTAGTATTTCTAAATAGTCAAAGTCGAAAATCATTTATTCATATAGGTAACACAATGTATACTTATGAACGTCAAAAAAGAAATATACATTAAATGGTTCTAATTTTACATTTACTGCCAGTTCTCAAATCAAGGGCGTAGAACGGAAGAGAAGAAATGGCAATAAACTCTAGTATATTTAAATAGAATAATATTATTTCAAACATTGTCATTTAATAAATTCATGTTCTATCGCGTGTTTAATTATCAAAATTACATTATGTAGTCGTGCAATCAATAATTTGTGTTCAAGTAATGTTGCTATTTCTAAAAAAAAATAAATGGGTGCGTGTACGTGCGCGTAAGAAGTTATACTTCTTTGGCATTATTAAAAATAGTTTTTGATTGCATGCAAATAATTAATTACAATTAAATAATCAAAGACTGGAAAAGGAGTCATTATAGTCAATAAAGTTCAGTTTACATTTGAAAAATTAAATAAATAAATATTTATTATTATTCTCTTACATTAAGTGTAACATAAATTCTATTATTATTCGAATGTTGTTTTTAAATTATGTCCAATGCCGTAGCATCTTCCGTGGGTAACTTAATTCTATTAATTTTGTGTCACGGTGCGCGCGCATCGTAAAATTTCACTCTCATAAATTTTTCATAACGCGCCTAAAGAAGTATAACTTCAAAAAAATGTTATTCGATACCAACATTAAAAGCTGTATTTCATTTGTACAGGAGTATTCTAAAGTACAAGGATAAAGCCGCTACATCATACGTTTATAGGTTAGCATCCGTGCATCGGTCCCCTCGACCTAGTGACCTGTGAATCCTGCGATCAATGGAGCCGGGGGTCATTCAGACCGAGATACTGTTTATTCATTCATTCCTATATATTATCAACAGCAACAATATTTGAATGTGCTTGTATGACTAAATATTTCAATGCTAGCTTGTCTTGCATTAGTGGGTAGAAATATTATATTTAAGTCAGTACTAGACTTGAACAAAGAAAATTAAATATATTGAAATCATCTCGTGATTGAACTATTTTGATTTATTTAAACTCGGCTGCAGCTTCTTTAGACTTTGTACTTAAATAAACAACATTAACTTTTACACGTTAATCTTATAGAAAACAAAATCTTTAGTCTAAATATACTCTTTGATATTTGCTCCACTACATTGGTAACTATCAAAGTAATGAAATTGTAACATTTTCCGGTTATTTTATGAAAATATCCTAGGTCCCTAACAGTCAAAGCAAGATGTAAAATACACTAGAAAATATTGATTAATGATGAATGGACAGCGTATAATCATAAAAACATATCATGGTACATCAAAAATAAAATAGTACACAAGATCAGTATTTTCCCCTTAATAGAGACTGGAAGTAGTGTTATTGGACACTTTCTTATTTTAAATATCCTTTATAGTATATAGGTTAGTTAGGCTAGATCGTAATGTTAAATTATGTCTTTGTGCAGATATATATATATGTATATATAAAATTCTCGTGTCACAATGTTCATTCCCATACTCCTCCGAAACGGCTGGACCGACTATAGTAGATAGTTATTTTTATTTAACTAAAAAAATGTTTCCTAGAAATAATATACATCGCAAAACAACGTTTGCCGGGTCGACTAGTTTATATATAATACTAGCTGACCTGGCAAACGTCGTTTTGCCATGAATATCACTTATAATAAAAATAGGGGTTGATCGTAGAGGGGTGCAATTTAGGGGTTGTATGTATTTTTTAATTCTGTATCATAAAAAAATAAAAATAAAATAATTTATCTAAACATTAAAAAAATAATTTAGGAGTGGACTACCCTTAACATTTGGGGGGATGAAAAATAGATGGTGTCCGATTCTCAGAAATCTGCACTAATGCACAATATGCACACAAAATTTCATGAGAATCGGTCAAGCCGTTTCGGAGGAGTTTAACTACAAACACCGCGACTCGAGAATTTTATATATTAGATTAAATGCTACATAAAACTGGTAAATTAATTCCAAATTCAAATAATACTTAGTTCAATTCGATTATCATTAATTTTTTAAGACGAAAATGCCTAGCAGTATAATTAATTCTAAGAACGGCTGTCAGCCCTTTAGGATAACGTAATAGGATACATCGACCTATCTTCCAAGAACGGTGTGACGGCAACTATGACGTCATACGTTAGACTACGTACGAAAATTTAACTTGATAAGGCTTATTTTAGATTTGAAGACTAAATATTCTATCATTTATGAGCTTTTTAGATAAAAGCTTGTTTAACTGGACCTTATGCTATTTATATAATATCAATCTTTATTGTTGAATATAATTATAGTACCTAGTATAAAGCATCTGTTCATTTTTAGCCAAATAAATTTCGATATTATCTTATCTTAATATATATAAATTACGTGTCACGTTGTTTTTCCGCTATGGACTCTTAAACTACCGAACCGATTTCAATCAAATTTGCACAACGTGTGCAGTTTGATCTAACTTAAAAGATAGGATAGCTTACATCTCAATTTATACCCGCAATATGTATTTGTTTATTATTTGATAGTCACAATTCTAACAGACGGCGCTGTGTTGAAAGTACCAACGTTTCAAATAAGCTACAATTAAATGGCATTACCACCAAAAAAGCATGGTGGTCCCCATGACTGGTGTTCTCCTACCGTTTCCCTTGAATAGGTTACTACTATGTAATATAACAAAAGCCTTAGCCACAGCAACGCTTGGCCGGTCTGCTAGTTAGTAATAAATTTCATAATTTTTGTATTCGTTTTAAAAACATATATCCTATATAATAAATAAATCTTAAGCGTAAAAAGTCGTATTTTTATATAAAACGCATCTTCGGTTACGGTCCACCGATTTTAATAAAAAAACTAGTTGCCCCCACGAACTTTCTCCTTAATTTGATTTTATTTAATAAAATCTATCTTTTTAGTACCTACCAACATGGAACATTTTGCTATGCTACCCCGGAGACTGTTCGATTTTCCGGAAAGAAGAATGAATGAATGACTTTTAGGTTTTTCTGTGAATTTTTCTCTATTTAAACCTCAAGTCATAAGTTTTAAATTAACAAATAAAAATAAGGGTTGATCATAGAGGGCTGTAAATTAGGGGTTGTCTGTATTTTTGTATGTTGTATCATAAAAAAGTATATTTCATACCGCTATGTTGTTAGGAAGGCACTTTCGAAAGAAAAAAATATTTTTTTATTTATCGCGGAAGACTAATTAACCGTATTTAACATAGTTTGTAACTTGCAAAATCGGAATTTCATCGCTATTCTCAGAACATTTCTATTTTTTAACGTTTTGAACTTAAGTTACGATCACGTATCGTACGTACGACTTTATTGCCAGTTCTTCTCTTCCATTCTACGCCCTCGATTTGAGGACTGGAAGTAAATGTAAAACTAGAAGCATTTCATATATTTATTTATTATTATTTTTTTGACGTTCATAAGTGTACATTGTGTTACCTATATGAATAAATGATTTTGACATTGACTTTGACTTCGTCAAAACCTTCCTCGACGAATGGCCTAGGTAACACCAAAAAAACCAGACGCCAACAAATCTTCAGCTTTCTATTAGAGAGATATAGAGATATATATATATATAATATAATATATTTTTGCCGGACCACGAGACGGCTAAACCAAGAAACATATGATACCATTAAATGAAGTTACACGTTTCCATAATACGAATGTTTGAAACATCAAATACACAAGTCAAACAGTATACAATAACGACGCCCGTTTCCGTTCTATTCTCGTTCGCTAATATTTGCTAACACTAGTGATGGGGTCATGTAAATTGTGAACGCACGTGTAATGCCCATATACAGTCTAGATACATACTGTCTTCGTATGTATTAATGTTATCGTTATATTAGAAATAAAATAGTATCAGTGCTTAAAGGAATTTTACATTCCGAATATTTAATAATCTGCGGCTGACTAATTATGGCAGCTTTGGTGTTAATCATCATCGTTTCACATTATTATCTCTTAATGAGGTGACTATGTTTCTATACAAATTTATCTGGAGATAATACGACACGGCGGGAGTAAAACCTTCTTACTTATGAACCAGCGCCTATTTAGTTTTTATGAGATATTGAGGATACTATAATTATTGATAATATTTTGTGTATGTGATCTGTTTTAGCTTTATATATTGTTTTATTTTATAATATGGGTATGTGTAGTTGTTAGATTACTAAATTTTTGTCCTACCTACATAAGTCGAACTTTAAGATCTGGGCGTTATTATTAGTCATTTGTTTTTTTCCTGTGCCTGACCCACGCAGTGTCTTTTTTAGGGGTTATGGCATGCCGGTTTCCTTACGATGTTTTCCTTCAATGTATGAGCGAGTTTAAATACTAGGGCTTAGCTAGGGTTCAAAGATACCTCATACAAGAGTAGCACGCTGAAGCCACTAGGCCAACACTGCTACTTAACTTAAATTTAATAAGATATATATAAAAATAGTTTGTCGTTTTCGTGAACTTTAAAAAATTCAAAAACATCAAAGGAGCATTTAATTTGCCGACACCAAATTGAAATTATCATAATTTACAAATATTGTGAGTCACAAACACACGCCAGTCGATCTTTGATGATCATAGTTTTAATCAAGAGTTATTTATTTTATTATAGCGAGCCCAAACAGCTTCAGTTGTTTTGATGAAAGATGTTACAACTGAAATCGATATGGTTACGTAAAATATACTTATTTTAAATGGCGCGCAAGTTAGCGATTGGCGTAATGAGTGAATGAATTTTAACAATGAATTTTGTCTCGTGTATAAAAATGAAAATATTATTTTTCTCATTAATCAGCACGTGTTTTTTTTATTTTATGTAATTAAAGAGATATGGGACAGTTAATGTATTTGAATCGCATAAAGTGTAATAAAAATGTTAATATTATTTTTACATTAATCAGCACGTTTTTACTTTATTAAATTAAATATCTAACGGTACAATACACGAATGTAATGCCCGACTAATCAACAATTTATATATTTGTGTAGCTACGGATTACATTTATTGTAAACTATTTAATTTTTACTAAATGTTTTAGACATTTAAATACGTCCAAATCTTAAGCGAAAAATACGGGTTTTCATTATTAATATCGCCCAGTTGCATTTTCAATACATCACAGCGCAGCGTCTAAATTTAGAATATGGGCGTGATCGCTATTAAACTATCGATTCGAGTCTGGGAAACATTGATGATATAAGTGTAGAGAACAGGTGTGAGAAGTAACCTTTACAACGATATTTTTTTGCAATAAAGTATGAAAAATAGATAGTAGCCGATTCTCAGACCTACTGAATATGCATATAAAATTTAATGTATTATCAAAAAATGTTTTATGAACATTTTGCCTTATGCGAGAAATGCCAGCTGGGTCCTAAGTCTTAAATGGTGTTTAGAAGCTTTAAGGACTCCCACACAAAACTGCGATGCGATGCGATGCGAATTCGCATCGCAGGAATTTGCGATGCGAATTTCTGCGATACGATTTAGTGTGACGAACCGTTTGGTAGGGTGACCATTTCTTCGTAGTCAGCCGTACTGGACGTGTTTTTAGGACGCGTAAGATGGATTGCAAAAAGATAATTGCACTTCTGTTATTGTTAAATAGATATGAAAGAAAAAGGAGATTCTAGGTTCATCCATTTATTACGATTATGAACTCTGATCCAAACTTTCACAGACGCTCTTCCACGCATCTTGCTTAATAAATTTATTTTTGTAATGTTCATCACTTGTGTCCCAAAGGACGGGACGCTCCTCAATTAAAAATATTAAAAAATCCACATCATATTCCGCAATTTTTTATAAACAAAGAAGGCGGTGGAGCCGCCGCGCGTCTTTCTCTAAAGCTGTCTCAGAGCAGACTAAAATGGCGTCACCAAGGATGACGTAATATCGCAAGAATGTGCGATGCGAAGCAGATCGGAACTTCTTACGGTGCGTTCGTGCGAATTCGCAAATATTTGCGATGCGATGCGAATTCGCAGTTTTGTGTGGGAGCCCTTAAACCTACATTGAAAACCAATAAGAGAGAAATCAAATAGCATCAACAATTACGGAAATATCAACCATTTTAGACATTCCTTTGTATTGCACACATTAACACTCAACGTAAGTCATACTGGAAATAACAAGATTTTTCTTACAACAAATCCTCGGATAGATCCGACAAGTACATATCCGCCAGGTTTTAAGGCCAAAAACATTAGAGTCCTTTTTATTATACACGATTATATAGGCCTTTTCAATCACGCGTTAATCGTAGTGCCGTATACTTCAAATTTTTTGTGGTTGGGTTTCTAACGCCCAGTTGGTATAACATATTTATTTAACTAGCAGACTCGGCCAAGCTTTGCTGTGGCTAAAGTTTTTGTTATATTACATAGTAGTAAAACTATTCAAGGGAATCAAACGGTAGGAGAACACCAGTCATGTCTTTTCTGGTGGTTATGCCATTAAATTGTAGCTTATGTGAAACGTTAGTACTTTCAACACAGCGCCATCTGTTAGAATTTTGACTGTCAAATAATAAGCAAATAATTTGCAATAAAATAATATTACGGGTATAAATAAATATGTAAGCTATTTTATTTTAAGTTAGTCGAACTGCACACGGTATGCAAATTTGATTGAAATCGGTTAAGTAGTTTAACAGAAACTTTAGGTTAGAAACTATTTCTTTATTATAATTCTATTGATGTAGAGTCTATTGAGTATTGACCCCTGAAAGAGCCTGCCTCTCTAGGAAAGATTGAAGGGGCCAAGCAGTAAGTTTCATTGAGCGAGAACTTGATGTCACCAACGAAAGGTGAAACTTCAACGACATTTTATTCTTCTAGTATACGAATGTGATTTAAATTTGTCGTATTTATAAGATTGTGTATAGACTGGAGTAATTACCTCTTCTGCTGTCCTATTATATAAAAATAAAAAAAACAATTTTACCTTGCTAACAAGCATGTCAGTTTCGTCAAAATGTCTGCCGAACATTTTTGGGGATTCCCCGGGTATCGGCTCAATCTTTATGCAAACTTCTTGGCCCTTTCGCGCCGTTTCCACTTGTTTATGATTCACTTCGATAGATGTCACAAATCCAAGCTCCACGAACTGTAAGAAAGTAAACGTTTAATATTTAAAATTCTACCTATAAAGGCTACTTAAACATTAAATATTTTAGTATTTCCACAGAGGATATAATTAAAAAAAAACGAGTCAATATGTACGAATATAGAATAGAGTCAATAAATGAAATTGTAATCTTTTACAATTTCATCTGAGTTCATTGAAATATATTTAATAAACCAATATTTTTATAAGAATTATTAGAATTTATTAAAGATGCTAAAACTACTTCTGCGCATCAAAAAATCTCGGCAATTTGTTTGCCAGTGATCACAGTATGACAGTTTATTAATTTATTTTGTACCCTTTTAAAACAACTGGCCACTCAATTCCATAATATTCAGAAATTGTACTTCAAAAACTATCTTAACTATTTAAATCCGTTCACGCCTAAACCAATTTCATAAATAATATTTTTACCTCTTTACTGGGCACACAAATCGGTGTTCCCTCCTTCAAAATTCCAGCTTCCACCATTATTCCAGCAACGATCGGGTCACGGGAATTGAACACAAATTGTGGTAATACCTACGAAAATTAGAATTATCATAAATATTTGTGACTTGTAAAACGTTGTTTTGCCATAGAAATTATTTCTAATAACATTACAGTAATATTTGTTATTAAAAATGGGGTTTGTTGGTAGAAGGGAGAAAAATGAGGGTTATTTTTTTTTAATGCCAAAAAAAATTGGGCCACCCTTATCATTAAGAAATATAAAACATAGTTCATTTTATTTTCAATGCTACCAATATGTACACACAATCGGTCTGTTTCCTTACAAACACTTTGATATGAGAATTTTATATATTATTATAAATAAAAGTCTAAATAATAAAAAAATAGCAAAAATAATACTTGTTGGTTTTATACATAAATTCAACATTCGTGGTTAGTTTTTTATTTTTAACATTAACAAATATATATTATGTGATTGTACTTTAAGATAGAGACTTCTGATTAAGAACAAGGTTACCCCCGCGAACTTCGTTTCGCCTAAATATGATGTTTTTACTTAGCCTACCTTTTAAGTAGCTACATAAATATGGTACAATTTGATCTGTTAAAAAAACAAATATCAAATACAGACTGTTCGCTTTTCTGGAATAAAAAGCTAAGTACAAAATAAAACTAAATTTATATTTTTTTAATTTTTCTCTCAAAAAAATCTTTCCTCGAAGTTCAAGTAACTTTAAAAAAATCGAATTGTACCAGCCATCTTCGAGTTTTGCGATTCATTTTTATTTTGCATCCGAATATTGTAAAAAAAGTTAACTATTGCCATAAAAAAAAGTTTTAAATAAATCGCACCCAGGACCACCTGGAACTTGAGACAAAACCCTATATAAATGAAAAATATATGTCATTCTCACCTTCAGTTTGCACGGGAAGACAGCTATATGTTTAAATTCTTCCCGTTTCCTCTGCTTAAGTTCTTCTCTATAGGCAGTGAATTTGTCAAACAAATGGTAAATAATATCAGCTGCGAATATCTTCACGCCGAGCTGATCTGCCAACTCTTGCGCATCCCTTTCGATCTGAGTAAAAAAATTGCTTATTGAATTACCGCATTAATGACTATAACCCTCCAACGGAAGCCCTTTTTATGGTTATTTATATTAAAATACTAGATTTAAATCTCTTGATAGCGATTTGTATTAATATGTTTTGTGTGTGAGTAGAAACACAGTTGCTACTTAGAATATTACTTTGAACCATAAAATTAACTGGTTAAATTAACGTTAGTTAAATCGCAAACCTACTTAACCAATATCTATACAAAGGTATCTGTGTTTGTGTGTTTGGCGACCGACTCAAGTCGCAATATCTTCCGACTTAAAGGATTTTGTTACCCAAAACTCGGCGTTACATCCAAAACCGCTATAGCCAAATAAATTTTCGATTAAAGTAATTTAATTCAAGGAACTAATTTTAACGTTACCAAGGTCGTAAATGAAATCTGTAATCCATAGCAATATAAATACAATTATCAACTCAAAAATATCACAGTCGGTGCAGCATTTTCCATAAATTTAATTGACATAATAAACACACCTTAACATCAAAAGCCAATATAGTAGCAAACTGCGAGTCGTGCTCCAACATGGCGGACGCCTTCATTACGTCTCGCTTCACCACCGGACCTATCCTAATAGCTGAGTACTGAAACAAATTAATATTATTATCACTTTTTATAAACAAAATGTATTGTACTATTGAAAATAAAGAACGTTAACACGTTCAAAGGTTCGATCCCCGGCTGTGCACCAATGGACTTTCTTTCTATGTGCGCATTTAACATTCGCTCGAACAGTGAAGGAAAACATCGTGAGCAAACTTGCCTTGTATATAGTATTATAAGTATGTTAATTGTAAATAATAACATTAAACTATAATTTTGATTTATTTTTTCCCCTTATGTAACTATTCTGATTTTTTTGTAAATTTTTGCGGTTTTTAAAAATTTTTTTTTTTTCCTTTCTATTATTTCCTTCTTTTTATTATTCATAAGGTGAATTAAAACAGCGAATTATAAAAATCTTATACTTGAAGCTAGCTAATGCACACACCGTGCCAGAGCCATAAAGAGAGTAAAGAAAAACCGGCTTGCCTTAGACCCAAAAAGTCTGGCGTGTGTCAGGCACAGGAGGCTGATCACTTGCCTATTAGATTGACATATGATCATGAAACATATATAGAAATCTGAGGCCCAGACATATTTATTTATTAAAGTTTACCACACATCATACATAGTACTAAATCTACGGCATATGTTACAAACTCTTTGATCTAAAATGTATGACAGTTTAAGTAAATATAAATGTTGCAAAAAAATACAATTAAAATATATACAAGATAAAATAAGCATACAATAAGATGACTTCAAATTTTTGTTAAATAGAAACAGACTTAAAAAAGGTTGTAGTGCCACATGTTCATGTTTTTTTAAGTCAACTAGAATAGTAGTTTATGCAACTGTTATATAATAGAGGGTCAAAATAAGATTACACTCGTGAGTGTTTTAATACCTAATTATATGCAGTTGCATACACTACTTTATTTAATCTCATGGCTATAGGTTTCCAAGTCATAAAGTCTTGGTAACATTTTGTCGTACGCTTTTCTTGATTTTTCTGGCAAAAAGATATTCGTCAGTTTCGTAGCTGTTTCTACAATTTTCATCGATATCGTCGGTGTTGCTTGACATTATTGCTACTAAAGTTTTATCCAACAAAATATTACTCAAATTCGTATGTATAAAATAGCGCCAAAATGGAAAAAGTCTGTTATTGGTCTATTGGCTCGGAACCAGCGCGTTGCGCACGCGCGCGCTCACCACAGATTATGTGTACTTAAATTGAATTGAAACCTCCTTGGTCGGGACACATTGTACTTTAATAATTAAAAAAATATTTTAAAGCATTGTTTCGCAAGGAGAATAATGGTATAATTTAATTTCCTTAAAGAAGTATGTAAATGAAATATGCCAATAAAAGTCTGTATTTCATTTCATAATTAGAATATTACCGAATGAGATTATATAAATAATATATAAAAAACAATAACCTATTAGGTCAGGCTTCGTGATATTTTTTTTTGTAATAGTTAAGTAGGCGTTCAGTCTTCTGTGCAGTTACCTCACGATGTTTTCCTTCACCGTATGAGCGAATGTAAACAAATATTAAAAATACTTACGGGAATCTTGCTAGTCCTTAGGAACTCTAGCAACGCTTCGAGGGATCCCAGAGTAGACGCTTGCACGTACACACCACGCTCTGATAGTTTAATGGACGATAGAGCTGTCTTCAACTCCTTCGCCACTTCTTCCCTATTATCATTTTAACATTAAGGATAGGAAACGAGACTTAGTCGCTAAGTCTGACTCCCGAAAGTCATAAGTGTATTGGATTTTGACATAAATAAATAAATAGTTTATTTGCAGACAAAGTGGTACATTCAGATTGATAAGTTATTAAAACACCGATAAATCAGCCATATAGGCATACAAATGTCATATAATTTTTTTTTTTTTTAAAGACGATTCACACCAATTGACCTAGTCCCATGCTAAGCTGGTGAAGCTTGTGTTATGGGTACTAGGCAACGGATATACATACATATTATACATAGACTTATAAATACATATTTAAACACCCAAGACCTAAGCACAACATCAAATGCTCATCACATCGATGTTCGTCTCAGCCGGGGACCGAACTCGGGACCCATGGTTTCGCAGTCAGGGGTGCTAACCACTAGACCAATGAGTCGAAATGAGTTCTTTTAAATGAGTATTTAAAAGAACATTTATAATTTTTTAGGGAAAATGCTAGTTTGTGTGTTACAGGTCATCAGGCCTCCACCACTTCGGATCGACAGGTCTTAAAAAGTAGAGAAAAATTTAGTGAGAATAAACAATCATTATTACATAGGCATTATTGCAACGTTAACATTGTCTTACTAGTATACACACTAAAAGTAAATTCTTTATATCTTATTTTTCGAAAAATGATCTACTATATCAACTTTAAGAAATTCGTTAAATTAGATAAAGTTTAACAAAAGGCTTTTATTATCATAGACATGAATACAAATATTTCATTTTACCTTATTACTACGAAGATTATTATAGAATTTCATTAATTTAATAGAATTATTGCTATCATTGAAAAACGTGACGATTTGCTACAAAATTTCTCCCATACGTCGATAAAGAAGTTTCATTCCAACGCCGATAAAGAAGTTTGACTTCAAAAAGCAACAGAAAAATGTGACGCGTAACGAAAAAATGTTACACTAAATTTTTTTCCAACCTCGATAAAGAAGTTTCACTACAAAAAAAAAATATTTATAAGGAAACCACATGAGGTATGTGTGTGCCTAAGTGTGTGTATGTGTGTGGGTGTGTGTCTGTGTGTTAGTGTGTGTACGTGAGTGTGTGTCTGTGTATTTTATTACTTAATTGTTTATCTAATAAAGCTGAAACTATTACTATTATCCATATTTATGATTTTAAAAACTCTCCCACATAATAAAGGCACTTTGCCATTAAAAATATAATCTCCTTCCCCTTGAAAGCATTGCACACCAGTGACTGTAATTTCTAGGTAATTAAATAGTTCGCTTCTGAATCTGTCCAAAGCACACACGACCCTAAAATCAGTAGCGATATCGGGACAATAGTGGTGGGAATGAAATCGACTCGCAGTTCGAATCGGCAGTAGCATACTCAAGCATACGAATTGCCTACACACGAGGCGATCTAGGGTGCTGTCCACGATTTACCCGATATTGCCTCTGCTTTTAGTCGTGTGTAGACGTTTTAAGGCTACAAGCACTTTCGTATGTAGTACAAAAACTCATTGTATAATAATAAGAATTGAATAGAAATTTTATATAGTAACTTCGACCCGAATTTTATATAGTAACTTCGAGTGGAAGCCCTGCATTATATCGAACAAGTAAAACTTTAATAAAATATGAAAGGAAATATTAAATTAGTAATTAAAATTGTAATGTTTATATGGGAGCACGTAAAATGTACGTTGACACATGCAACTTAAAAATCTAATATATAAAATTCTCGTGTCACAGTTTTCGTTGCCATACTCCTCCAAAACGGCTCGACCGATTCTCATGAAATTTTGTGTGCATATTGGGTATGTCTGAGAATCGGGTAACATCTATTTTTCATCCCCCTAAATGTTAAGGGTAGTCCACCCCTAAATTTTTATTTTTTATTTTTAGATATTTTTTTCTGTTTTATGATACAGCATTAAAAAATACATACAAACCCCTAACTTTCACCCCTCTACGATCAACCCCTATTTTTTTATTATAAATGATATATATGGCAAAACGACGCCCGGTCAGCTAAAATATATAAAAAAAAAAAAAAAAAAAAAACATAAAACAAACATAAACATAACATCAATTTTTCACAATATTATTTCAATATGTTCGTCAAGTATGTTAAGCTAATGCTAAAATAACTATTATATAAATCTAATGACAAAAATACTTTAACTTACCGTAAAATGTCTACTTCATCTGGTTTCTGAGCAACAAGGAGGTTCAAACCAGCAATTGCTTTTTCCAATTCTTTCGCTGCTATCTTAACTCCTTGAGCCCCCGTTACTTCTTTGTGCTCAATGTAAGCGTTCTGTAATAAGTAATAATGCGTTATAATAGGAGACAGAAGAGTATTTTAGACTAATACTAGCTGATCCGGCAAAAGTTGTTTTGCCATGTACTTATATTATTTTTAGGAAACATTATTTTGATTCAATAAAAATAACTACCATAAAACATAGGGGTTGATCGTAGAGGGGTGAAAATTAAGGGTTGTATGTATTTTTGTATGCTGTATCATAAAAAATTAAACAAAATTTTGTGTCTAAAAAATAAAAAAATAAAATTTGTGGTGGACACCCCTTATCACTTAGGGGGTTGAAAGATAAATAGTAGCTCATTCTCAGACTTACTGAATAATGCATAAAAAATTTCATAAGAATCGGTCGAGCCGTTTCCGAGGAGTATGGTAACTAACATTGTGACACGAGAATTTTATATATAAGATATAGATAGAAAGAGGAAAGGATAGCACACAGTAAGTATGTATGTAGTGTCTCACTGAAGTATTTCCGAACCAATTCGACTGAGGGTCCTTCAAGAAAATAGCGTACCAATTCTTAAAAGGCCGGCAACGCACTCGCGAGCCCTCTGGCATTGAGAGTGTCCATGGGCGGCGGTATCACTTAACATCAGGTAAGCCTCGTGCCCGTTTGCCACCTGTTCTCTCGCAAAAAAAGTGTGGACTCAGTTTCCGCAGTTAGACGCCCATTAAGCCACCCTAGCTCCTTCCGGAAGCTCAGAAGTTTCCTGGATTAATTTAGCGACCTCATTGGAGAGCAACTTTCGCTTGATTTTGATTTGGATCCTGTTGTGATGACAGACAAATCTACCCCTGACAAATTAGTCAAGTAACACTTTTATGTCGTCTATCGTTATTGTATCGTTTTGTCTACCGTTGTTGTATCGTTTCGTCCATCGTTATTACATTGTTTCCTCTACCCTTAAAGTATCAGTTCGTCTATCGTTATTATATTGTTTCGTCTATCGTTAATGTATTGTTTCGTCTATCGTTATTGTATCGTTTCGTCTATCGTTGTTGAATTGTTTCGTCTATAATTTTTTTAACCTAACATTTCAAACAGAAAACGGAAGTATTGGTTGCGAAAAGTTTTACTAGGGCTGATTTTAAAGAAACACTTTCTCCTGTTTCTTTTAAGTTAATGCATTTATATATCATATAAAAAACTGGATAAATCTTACCTTGACACGCAATTCCTTCATAGGCTGAGGCATCAATAGCGACCTTATTTGCGTGACTATGGGTCCTTCTGTTCCCGCCAAAATCGCCGTATCTCCCTCACGTAGCGTTCCATTGATTAGAATTGTATCTATCGTAGTACCCAATCCGGGGATAGCTTTTACCTTGAATATAAAAAAAACTCTTGAAAGGAATATTCATTTAACAATTTTTCTCATATTTAAAATACTTTTAACACGTTCACTGCGGCAAGTAAAATCATAATTCTTCATCAGGTGCGGCGGCGGGCCAAAATGCGCCCCCAATGATATTTCCGCCAGTGCGTGGCAGGTCTTTCTAGACCCAACAGCACTAGGATAGATTAACTCTCAGTGGATGCACAGCAGCGTCAGTGCGTGGTAGGTCGATAAAAGCCTGCCGTTATGTTTTGATGGGGAACACCTACAATTTTGACCGCAAGATGAAATATATATTTGTCCCTGTCGAATTTTTACAAACACCTGAGATAATCGTTACGCACCAGCGAGAGGGACATAGATTTCTTCGTCCGCACCAGCTGAAATACCGCGGCAGGCCGATATCGGCCTGTTACGCAGTGAACGTGTTAACACTTAAAAACTTATTTAAGGGAAAAACTGGAAAATTTTATCACGTTTTTATCAGCTATAGATAATGGATATTTAAATTTAAAATAAAACTTTCTTTAGTAAATTACTAATTAGTCCTAATGTAAGCCAGAATATCAAACGATTTCTCCCACTAGACTATTTTATTTTAAAATATATTAGAACCTTATTAGTCCTTTAATAAAAGGTCGTACCGATTCTTAAAAGGCTGGCAACGGATTCGAATCTGAGAGATGAGCCTCCTGCCTATAGGCTGTTCTATAAAAAACTATTAAGCACTCACCTCTAAGACAATAGCAAGCAACTGCTGAGAGAAGACCAGCCTCTTATGCAAGGGTCCCTCGCAGGCTTGAACTATCATCGCTAGAAGGTTACCCATCCCTTCACCAGTCACCGCTGATGTTGGCACCAAGGAGACGTAAGTACGAGGGTCTGGGTTCTCGTAGAATAATGCTGCGTTTAGACCCTGAAATAGAATTATTTTATTATTGACAAAAATTATTATTGAGTATGTATGAAGATTCTAATCTAATTTAAAATATTTTTTTTATTTTATTTATTTATTTACACTTCGTTGCAATAAAATTAAAAGAAACACAAATAACACAATACATAAAAATTATAAGGGATGCAATGGGCGGCCTTATCGCTAAGAAGCGATCTCTTCCAGGCGACCCTAGTTAAAGAGAAAAACTAAAAAAAAATGTAAATTTATAACATAACTTCAAACCGATAAAAAAGTGTTTTCTTTAAATAAAAAACATATAATAAGGGCAACGTAGGCACCGCACGAGTGCCGCAAGCGTAAAAGCATTCTATAAATTACCTGTTCAGCAAACTGCAGTATAACATCTTTCGTGCGCTTCTCAAACTCTAGTTGGGTGTTCGGTTGCTGCATCTTCAGAATATCACGAATATCTTTACGTTGAGCACTCTGCCAATCGTACAATCTATCTATCTTATTCAAGGCAACTAAAAATGGCGTCTTCTTCTGTTTTAGAAGATTTATCGATTCAATCGTCTGTGGTTCCAACCCGTGCATAATGTCTACTACCTGTAAAGACAAATTTAACATTTTTTACCGACTTCATAAAAGCAGGTCAGTTTAAGCTGTGTGTGATATTGAACTAATTTTAGAATTAAGTGATATGCTTAGCTTTAGCTGTCAGGTTGTCTATGTAGTTTGTTACTGTCATTAATATGTATAAGCTTATTACGAAATGTCAGAGATCTGTGATAGATGAAGCATATGAATTGACTTAACATTTACAAATATTTCGTAGAACGTTAATGAAACTTCAATCTAGTTGCTACCTGTCAAATCATTTCTGTTTGAATTTTGACATAATATTTGTCATGGCTAGAGCCGAGATGGTGACTTAAGATACGAATTAGAATATGGATCTTACTGAGTAAGTTATGATTGTGTTTGTAATGGATAAGATCTAAAATTTCTGAATCCATTTTAAATTTATTACAACAATATTACGCTATATTATTAACAGTGTAGATACATTCTCGCACACCAGGATCGGAACTTTAATGAATAATATACAAAGACGCGAAAAACTATTTCTCTTTGATTCTTCCCCTAATTTGGTTGAACGCTCTATCTCAAGAACGACTACAGGAACAACGGGTTCGAATATACATTCTTTTGTGGGGTCCATTTATTAAGGAAGGCCAACAACACGAATTACGCGCGTAGAACAGTAGAGCACTGCTAGTAAATCACTTGCGCGCACCACATCAGAAATTCAAGCCACAAACGAAATATAGATTATAGAAATTCTGAAATATGTTGGATTATCACAGCTTACTATTACTCATATTTTATAAGATAAATTAAAAAAGGTGACTATAGTTAATGGTTGAACGTTGGGGCTTACACTAGTTAAACAATATAGCGAATGTTTTTAAATATAAAAAAACTTACCAGAATGGCGATATCACAGAGGGAGGAGCCTCTGTTTCTTAAATTACTGAAGGATTCGTGACCAGGTGTGTCAATAATGAGGAGACCTGGCAACTTGAATGCTATTTCATTCACCTGTAAAGAGAGCAATTTATTTTAGTAACAATAATATTGTTGTTGAAATGTTTTGTTATGTGCGAACATGAAAAATATAAACTATTTTATAGTCTTTGTTATTTATTTTTGATGTTGGTACCTAAGTTTACTTTCCAACTAAAAAAAACTAAATGGATCTGGGTTACCTAAATGAAATAAATTATCATGATTAACTTTTTAATGCCCGTCTCTAGCTAGCACTAATTGCAGATACGTGAAAAAAAAGTTTTCAAGTTTAAATTACAGGTTGATAAAATTCCAGTTTCGAGAAAAAAATTTATTTTCTCATGTATGTAACAGTATATGCCAAGGGATGTCAACGACTCTCCTATAACTTGTTATCAATTCATTTAGATTTTTTTTTCAAAAACGTCTTAAGGACCAATTTTTAATGATTGTATTTAGCTTGACCCGTTTAGGTCAAATCTAGTAATTAAAATTTGACCCCCTTCCTCTTTTTGTCTGATCAATACCCTAGATTAATGAGAAGAGTGGGTACCTACCAAAATAATTTTTAAAGTTTTAGTACACTGTCTATTAATTGTATTGTTTAAAACAGTTTTATTAAAAAACAATTACATGGGTATATTAAACTCACCCCTTTAACATGCCTGGTCTGCTCTTTAATATTCTCGATGGGCACATTAGTAGCACCAATCTGTTGCGTAATTCCACCAGCTTCTCCGTCTTGTACGTTGGTTCGCCGTAACTTGTCCAAAATTTTAGTTTTTCCCGTATCTACGTGTCCGAGGACGCAAACGACGGCAGCACGTAGGGGATTGTTAGCTTTGTTCTTTTCATTATCTTCGCGACGTTTCTGGAAAAATGTTTATGTAATGAAAATGCTTTGTATAAAAAGTCAATATTTGATAATCCTGTTTGGATCCCAGTGCTGTGTAAAAATTTCAAATCAAATATATTTTTATTATGTCAAAACTTAGCTATCGGGTTACTAGATTACTTAAAATATGTATATTAAATGTCAAATATGAAAGTCCCTGATGAAAAATTGTCTGCATAGGATACTTGAAGTTGTCTTAAATTTCTATATATTAGTCCTATTTATGAGTATAGCCCAATTTGTTTAATTTTTAATTTTATATATGTATTTTTTTAAATATAAAATAATAATAATAAATGCTTTGCTTTTTTAGTAGTTTAGCTTTCTTCACTGTAGATTTGAAAGTTATGTTCATAATTTCTTTTAGATTTATTTAACTAACTATTATAATAAGAGGAACCATTTTTTAGCACCTTCCAGAAACAATTACAATTCACAACAATTGCAACATTAGTTACAATTTTTATATCTTAATTACTTATCTTATGATGATGTTTTGCGCTTAATAAATAAGTAAAAAACGGAAGTAGTCTTATAATGTATAAATTAACAAAAATTAGTGATAAAATTACCTCTAATCTCTTCAAAACAATCTCTCTCTTTTTCTCGGCATCTGTCATTTGTTCATCTTCAGACTCCTCTTCAGAGCTAGAGTCATCATCCGAACTGCCTTCCTCTTCAGAACTATCCTCTTCTTGCTAAAAATTTACGACACATCTTTTAAGAATATTGCATTTGTTAGTTTTAAAAAATTTGTGTTTTGTATTTCCTCATATATTTTCTTGTAATAGATAACAACAAACACGGAACTTTGTTATTATATTTAGTCTGTTTCATAATTTGTTGCATGATTTGGTATTGCAATGCACTGCAATGGCATTGACGTGAAATTTAAATAACGTGGAATAAGTGATACCTGTATCTTATATTCCAAAATAAACATATATATTTTTTTTATTGGTTGCACCACAATGCTTAATCTAAAATTCAATTAAATTGTTTTTTTGCACAATTTATATATGATTATACCATTTGCTTAATAAGATACTGAAGTATTAGTAAAATATATCTACATATCACAATGTAAGTGCATTAATTTGCAATTAATTTAATTGATAAAAAAAAAAAATAGTAGAAGTCATTTGGTAAATAGACAGAACAACACTCTAATGTCTGTATTCTAGAATGTCAATCATACTTAAATCAATTTCTAAAAGCTTACACTTTACCTTTTTTCTGTATGAAGTTTGACAAGATACAAATACAAATACGGACCTACAACTATTTAAATATATATAAATGTGCGATACATACCACTTTAGGTTTTTCTTCAGATGGTGGCTTTTTGTTGTCAACAACAGGTACTGTCTCAGGCTTTGTAGACTCCTCATCTTCAGAAGACTCGGCATCCCAAGCATCTTTGACAGACTCAGTGTCCGACTCTTTTTTCTCCTCGGGCTTGGTGGGTTCCTATAAAACGTTATATAAAATACATTAAAACTCATCCTCCAGAGACTCACAGATTATTTTTCGGTGTTGAAAAATAATCTGTATTTGTTACTAAACTTCTCTCAAGAATATTTAACACACACATACATTACATGATAGATCTATATTTTAGGGTATTCTATTGTTTTAGTATAGAATTTTAATCTTTTATACAGACAAGAAAATTACTAAAAACAAGTGTACAATATAAAGCATAGCACATAGCAAACACACATTTTCATAAGAATTATTATTATTAAGAGGAATTAATCTCAACACTTAAAAATTATTATATTAATACAACAGTAGGAGGACAATCATATATTACAAACTCTATACCATATCATTATCTATTAATAATATGTAATGTTACCTGCTTATCAGTAATTTCAATTTCCACTTTCTTTTCTTCTACAGGAGCTGATGCTGTTTCTTGTGACATTTGAGTTTTTAATTTATTTGGCTTTGCCCTAGTACCAGGTCTCAGTGGTTTTTTCTCAGTCCCAATTTCTATTCCTTGAGCTTTTAAAGATTCTAACATTGCTTGAGCTCTCGCCTTTTCAGCTTTTTGTTTAGGTGTTAATAATTTACCTTCAGCTTTAAGTCTTTCTTTTCTCTCCTTTTCTTTTTGCTTTTTCCTTTCTTTTTTTTCTTTTTCTAATCTAATAGCTTCAAGTCTCTGTTTCTCTCTCTCTTCCTCTTGCCTAATTCTTTCTTCCTCTTCTCGTTCTAATCTTTCTTCCTCCTCTTTAACCTTTTTCAAAGCTTCCTGCATGGCAGCAATAGTTTTCTTGGTAGGACCTTTTTTACCTTTGTCGTCTTTGTCCCCTTTGTCACCTTTTTTCTTCTTCTTTCCTTCAACAGGAACATCACCTTCAGCGTCCTTTTCTTCTGATGGAGCTTTAGTATCCTTTTCATCTTGATCTTTAAGCTCAACATTTTCAGGTTTACTTTGAGGCTTTAATTCTGTTAGTTCCTTTTTACCTTCTTGTGGTTGTTCCTTCTTTTTAGCTTCCTGTTTTTTAAGTTTCTCTCTTTCTTTCTTCTCTTTTTTCTTTTGAGCTGCTGTTTTAATAGTTATATCATTTTCATTGTCACTTCCCTTTTCTTCAACATTGATTTCTACTTCAGGTTCTACCTCTTTCTTGGTTTTTTTCTTTGCTTTTGGTTTTTCTTCGGGTTGTTCTTGAGGCTTTGTTGGTTCTGGCTCAGCAGCAGGTTCTTTTTTGACTCCCGCATATTCCATTTCAAGTTCCGCTAGAACCTTTTCTAAATCTTCATCACTGTCATCCTTTTTCCTTCTAGCTTTTTTGCCTTTCTTTCCTGCTGGTTCCTTTTTATCTTGTGTAGGTTTTTTGGCAGATTTTTGTGCAGGTTTTTCATCATCTGAGGAAGGTTGTGCCTCAGGTGCAGATTCTCCAGAATCTTCAATTTCTAATAAAGAGAAAGCACTCTTTTCCTGTTTTGTTTTATTTTTTTTCGTCTTGACATTCTCATCTTCAGATTCATCTGAAAGATGTAATACAAAGGTTATTATATTAATGGTTACCAAAAAAATAGGAAAGTTCATAATACTTACCATCACTACTGGCATCAACTTTTTTCTTTTGAGTCTTATTTGATATTGATACATTTTTAATATTTTTTGTGACTTCCTTTACATCAGAATCAGCTGACTTCTTTTGTTTAGTCTTTGATTTGGGTTTCTCGTCTTCACTTTCATCTGATGCTACAGCTGTGATAGCAGGAACTCTAAAGAATTTTTTTATTATACATAATACATTAAAGCTGATAACTGATATATACAATAACTATATAATAAAAAGTCATTTAGTGATAGTGAAAGGTATGAAAATAGACAAGTTATCTTTAGTTACAAATATAACCTCTAAGACTTACTTTTTGCCCTTGGTTTGTACTGGTTTTGTGTTCTCAATCGTAGTGGTTTCTATGTCACTATCTCTGTAAACAAAAGTTTTTTCAGTAAAATGAGCAGAATTTGTCAACTTTCTACAACAACATATGTGATAGACCGAATATTACCCATCCTCGGCTGTCTGACTCTTCTTGCCTTTTTTAGCTTTACCCATTGTAGCAGAAGGAACTTTTAAGTAATGATCACTGGTAAATAATATTTAATTTCAGAATAATTAGCAATTTTTATCATGTGAATTGAAATCACTTTGCAAATTGGGCTAAGCCGAAATAGTTCGTCGACGTCGAAGTCGTGTCTCGTCCTTACTTATGCTGATGTCAAAACTCAAATCTGAAGCCTGAATGTTATTGCCAGAATATTCGACAGTTGAAATGTCAATGTAACTGTCAAATTTGAAATCTCGGAAAAAGTATGTAATTTTCAATTAACTCCTTATTTGTATTATACAAAATAATAATGATTTAATTTAAGTAGCAATTTTTAATGCGAAAGGAAAAAGGAATATAAGAATTGAAGAAAGGGAACGAAAGTTTGTATCGAAGTTACGTCAAAGCTAGAAGCGTCAATGTTATTTTGTTATACTCTGATTTTTAATTCCGTAGGATTCTGACAGCTATCACTTATGATTAATAGCTAGGTGTCGACCTATACCTATTCAGAAATTTATATTCTAAATTTAAATAATTTAAGGTTTAAACTGTGATATTCATTAGCAAGACTCAAGAGTAACAATGCACTTTATTTTTATTTTTAATATTATGGCAATAGTTTTAACTTTATGCCAGTTTCAAGTAAAAGGTTGGGAAATTACACGCGAGAAAAAAAAAACAAAGACATCAAAAGGAAATAAAGGGATAAGCTGGTTAAAAACAAAATATTTACACAAACATATTACATGTTACATATTCATTGCACTCCCTTTGCCCCGCATACCCAATACAAGTCACCTCTTACGAAACTACGCTATATATAAGGAAAGGGACAAGAGAACCAGCAGTTTTTTGATCGGATACCTCATATCGGACCGGTCAAGTCTCAAGTAGTTAAGTTTATTATATAATATATTTATCGTGCACCTAATATCGGGCCGATTAAATAATTGTATTTAGTTAAGTTTATTATTTGTAAAAGTAATTAATTAAAGTAATATTAATATATTTTGTTTTTTTTGGAATCCACCGCTGGCCCTCACTTAATTGGCGCAGTCGGTAGGATCGTCGAGTCAGTGCGCGTACTAATTAATATACTCCGTAGATCGCCTACGTAGAGTACGCGAACTAATAGACTTCCAAGTTTTAATCGACGATTCACAAGAACCGAGGACAGCGGACCACACACGGCGCATCCAGAAATCGATGACAAAAGGTGCCACCATCGTCGAAATGCATATAAATTACGGCCACCAACATCGACGATCGAGTTAAAGGAAGCGGTGTCGAAATCATTAATTTTCCTCGAATGGACAACATCATTCAACAAAATCAACCAGGTGTCCAACTTAATTCAATCGATCTCACGAAGTTACACAATATGCAAAATGGAATTACAATGAAAGCACCGGCGGGAACATATGATTCATCAAACATAATATACCACACAACGATTCCTTTGTACTTCGCTATGACCACACTCCTGGGCGCAGCTGTACTTTTCTTCGTACTCCGATATCGCCGAAATACATCTTCGAAGCCGATTTCAAAAACGGATAATAAGAACATGTCTGCGCAAGAACTTCGAGCCGCAACTTTTGCTATAGACATCAATAGCAAATAGTTGCTCATCTTACGGGGGAGATGTTACATATTCATTGCACTCCCTTTGCCCCGCATACCCAATACAAGTCACCTCTTACGAAACTACGCTATATATAAGGAAAGGGACAAGAGAACCAGCAGTTTTTTGATCGGATACCTCATATCGGACCGGTCAAGTCTCAAGTAGTTAAGTTTATTATATAATATATTTATCGTGCACCTAATATCGGGCCGATTAAATAATTGTATTTAGTTAAGTTTATTATTTGTAAAAGTAATTAATTAAAGTAATATTAATATATTTTGGTTTTTTTTGGAATCCACCGCTGGCCCTCACTTAATTTACATCTTAATATTATTATTGATTATGAAAGAAGATAATACATTATAATACAAAAAGGATAAAGCAAACGGCAGGAGATTTTAGTCGGAAACGGAACATGAAGTAATTGTAAGGAATTCAGAAAGAAGGTGCGGTCATATTGGGAACAAGAAAAGAAAATATGGTCAAAGTCACCAATATCTTCTCTACACTCACAAATATTACTATCAACAATATGAAGAAATATCAATTTTCATGCCGACAATATTAATGGCATCATTAGAGATTAATGAAGAAAACACTATTTCAGAAAAATTTATTGAGTTTCTGACAAGTAATGCTACGCCACCGTGGCCATCAAATCTATCATTTCGCAAGGAAGTATATCCAGAGATCCTAAATAGGTACCCTTGGCTTCAACCACGTCTCAGATAACGCGACAACAACAGGAGAATGTTTATTTATCAAATATATTTAATCATATTTCTTTGCAATTCCATTGAATTATCTTGCAATCCATTATTTTTAATAACATTAATTGATTTCACTTTTTCATGAATAGAGGCAACGTGGGACGCTTTCAGTAAGTTTGAGTTTACTAAAGTATAGTTAATAATGCTAGTATCATTTCTAAGACATCGGATTTTTCTTCCTCTTTATTTTTGTGACCAACCAGTGCACTGCCATTTTTAGGCTCTGGAACTCGGAAGTCTTTTAATACATTATTATGAGCAACACAATCATAACCATGTCGAGGTTTAGGAGGAAAAAAAAAGACAGTATTTGTCTTTTTATATGAGGGATTAGTAGAATTATTTCTTAAATATTTTTATATTTTTAAATATTTTGCCGCAGCCTATACGTACAGATACATTTTGTTGAACTTCCTCTACACTACAATCTACAGGGACCCCGCGAACTAGACCCATTCTTGTTACGCTGAAAGTGGGAATGAAGGCTTTTAACTTTTTCGTTAAGATTGCAGTTAAGAAAATTATTGGCGTCTTTATAATCTGAAAAGCCAACTACGCACCTGTTTCTTCCTATACGCTTTACACTTCCAGGAATAATATTATTAAATTTGTTCTGCTTTAAAAAATTGCCAAATGTTATAGGATGGAGAATGGTGCCGTCGTCAAGTGAACTTTGTATACGTTGAACATGTATTAAATAAGGGGAAACATCAATAGGAACATATTCAGTACGGCCAATCGACCGGGGGTCCGTATTGGTTACTGAAGCTGTGGTGTTGTTTGAATTTCCCGCGTTAGAGTCTTGAGAGATATTTAAATTTTCCATGTAAGATGTTGATGGTTTAGTGGATGGTTATGTGAATTAATACAATTTTGCGAGTGTGTAGATGATGTGGCTTGAGATATAGGTTTGGAAGTAACCTTTTTGATTAAAATTGGCTCATCTTCTACATTGCATAAGCTTTCGCACTGACAGAAATCACCGCTAGAACCACTACCTTTATTTTTCTTAATTTTCGTACACTGCCGACAAAGCGCAAATAACGTGTTTACCCTTCACTTTAATGATAACGAACAATCCGTATCCATTTTGTCAAATTGTCATCTTGTGAACCAACAGATACGTTTGATCCCACAGGGAGATTCAGGCCGACATGATGGCCATCATCCCCCCGACCCAGGTCGGATGATGGCCTTGTTCATACATTATTTACAAAAACTTACCGACTACACGATGACACTATACACAAATATGATATAAAGATTATATATAATACAAAAATTAAAACTACCAGCTTATCCTCTGCGTTTTAACTAGTAATTTTCACCACCGTGAAAAAAAACGTCTACCATGAACGAAGTTTCCCGCGCTTTTTTTCAACAATGCACTTCCGTCTTCCTAACTTTTTTGCATGGCTGACGCACAAACCGTGCAGCCTGCAGGCCAAGAAAGGTAAAAAAAAAGTATAAAATTACTCACCCTATAATCTATATAGATAGATGCACGTTATTTGTTAGTATCTCAACCATAGAGATCTCTATTCTCTAGTTAGCTGTTAGTCTGTGGGTTAGATCAAAATGTTAATAAGCAAGCTGTTTGTAAATTTTTTAAAGTAGTAATATTTATTTTATTTTTTTTCAAAATCAAAATGTACAAAGGTTTTTCTCGGATATGGACTATCTCTTGTACAGATAGGTTACCATGTCTATCTCCATTCGTAAACAGTGTTTTATCCTCACGAAATGGAAATAATTGTGGCATAGGTTATGTTTTCAAAAGAACTAAGAAACATGATAAAAGTAATCCATCAGCATTATTCGTACCAGTACCGGTTAAGCCAAATCCTGATGATATAAATGTAGGGGAGGAATTCACAGGAAGATTGAAAAAGCAAGATCTTCTAAAAACATTAAACAAGTTTTATCAAAAACCTGAAGTTAGAGTATTAGCATGTAATAATGGTTTGGACGATCAACTATTGCATCAGGCATTCCTGTCATTCAGAAGACATTGCTTAGAACATGATTTACCACCAGATTTGCATATTACAATTAGTGATATTCTTGTTGGTAAGACCAAGTCTGAATAGTTATTGTATTGTGCATATCTGTGTATGAATATTTATTAAGAACTTTATGCTTCAAGGTGCTGGACATGTAGATGATCTCTTTCCATATTTCCTAAGACATGCTAGACTTGCATTTCCTCATTTAGATTGTTTAGAAGATTTAAAGAAAATATCAGATTTACGGACACCAGCTAGTTGGTAAATATTATTGTTTTATTTTATTAATAGTATAGTAGTAATAGTCATTGGTTATTTTGTGAACTTTAAGGTATCCTCAAGCACGCTCAATGAATAGAAAGATAATATTCCATGCAGGACCAACAAATTCAGGGAAAACTTATCATGCTATGGAGAGGTATTTAACAGCAAAATCAGGAGTATACTGTGGACCACTAAAGCTATTAGCTACAGAAATATACCATAAGTCAAATAAAAGAGTAAGTTAAAAATAAATAATTCAGAAAAAATACATACAATCTCTTGTTATTTATATTAGGACTAAGATTCACAAAAAAATATTTATATTTTCTGGTCTTATTTCAAAAATAAATATACTGTGTATACATATTTATGTATCCAACCATAGGTAAAAATTACTTTCTTAACATATTCATAGAATTTGTATACACCATATATATGAATTATATGAATATCTATCTACTCCCAAAGATACAGTTTAGAAAATTATCGTATTATATTTTGTTGCTATATTTAGCTACCGTTGACAGGGCACCCCTTGTGATTTAATAACTGGTGAAGAAAGACGGCATGCTTCTCACTATAACACAATAATGGATAATGAAGAAGAACAATCATCAAGTGATGAAGAAATATTTGTACTCAATGAACCAGAACTGACTCCTTCAAAACATGTTGCCTGTACAGTTGAAATGACCTCATTAAATGATTCTTGTAAGTCTTTTAATTTTAAATTTTTATATGATTATTAAATTTAGAATGTGCACGGAGGCAAAATTTGTGTTTCAGTTCTAATTTGCTGTGAAAGCATTTTAAAACAATCTAACTGTGCTAAATTTAGGATGTTAATGGTTACAAATTAATTAATTAAAACACCTTAATTAGCTCACAAATATTATGTTTACTTACATTTCAGATGAAGTGGCTATAATTGATGAAATTCAAATGATTGGAGATAGAGGAAGAGGTTGGGCATGGACTCGAGCTGTATTAGGTAATTTAAAATATTTTGCAGTATAATAATGAAAAATTATGACTAGGCATATCCCTTTGGAAACTACATTTTAGTACCTTAATTCCACTATATGAGTCTAGAAGTAGATAATTAAATTATTTGATAAGAAAAATACTAGATATATTCAAGTAATATTTTTAATTATAAACTACAGGCCTGCAGGCAGATGAGATACATTTGTGTGGGGAAGCTGGTTCTATAAGTTTAGTTGAAGAGATATGTAACACAACTGGTGAGGAAATAGAGGTTAGTACTTGCTACTTACTCTAACAAATAAAATCACAATTACATATTTGACTTTAGGTAATTTTTGAAGTTATACTTCTTTAGGCGCGTTATGAAAAATTTATGAGAGTGAAATTTTACGATGCGCGCGCACCGTGACACAAAATTAACAGAATGAAGTTGCCCACGGAAGATGCTACGGCATTGGACATAATTTAAAAACCACATTCGAATAATAATAGAATTTATGTTACACTTAATGTAAGATAATAATAATAAATATTTATTTATTTAATTTTTCAAATGTAAACTGAACTTTATTGACTATATTAGCGGCCTTCACACGTACAGTTCGAACCGTAGGAAACAGCGCGCGCCATTCCGATCTGCCAAGTCCAATCCGTCCATGTAGACGCGACAAGCGCGTGGTGGTTTGACAGTTCGATGCGGCCATTGGTGAGTACGAAAGTTTGTACAGTTTTATGCGGGTACCTCCTGTGGATGTCAATTATCTTCAAAATGGCAGTTTGGAGCTGGAAGCAGTGACAGGTTTGATAAGGATATATCGGGAACATCCGTGTTTATGGCAAGTTAAAAATAAGTCGGCTTATACAAACCGTAATTTAAATCTTCAAATGAACGTCCAGTTGCCAGATATCTTAATGTTGCGGAAAGACGTTCTTCTGGTGTTATGCATTTTCTCATAACTGTATCTTGCTTAGTAATTCTGTGACGGATAAGTTCAAAAGCAATCAAAATTATCGCCGTCCTTCCATTTAAGGTAATTTTTAAAATTTCTGATAGTTGGATTACCTTTTTTTTTAACATGGGTAAATGTCCAAATTTTCGTCTCTATTTCTTAACCCATACACGTCTCCTTAGATTATTAAAACAACACAAAACCAGCTAACGCGATCACTAGACGTGTATCCATTTCTACTGTACCGGTCAAACTGAAAGAAAACTTTTAAAATTGGTCGACATTCCACGCGCCATTCCATACGCGATCTAAACTCTCGAAAAGCATTTATACGTCAGTTTATCTGGGACGAATAGACAGTTTGAACCGCAGTTCACTACAATTAAGCTAAAAAACACAGATCACCGCGCGTCTGCACAGTTCTGCAGATGGTGCGCAGTCCAGAAAGCCATCCGAAGGCCGCTAATGACTCCTTTCCCAGTCTTTGATTATTTAATTGTAATTAATTATTTGCATGCAATCAAAAACTATTTTTAATAATGCCAAAGAAGTATAACTTCTTACGCGCGTACATAAGTACACGCACCCTTTTTGTATGATTTGGGCAATCTTTTATAATTATTAAAATTATATTATTTATAAATACAATAAACACAGACTCCACTGAATGCAACAGCCAGCCAGATAATAATAGAATATCCTCTTCAAACCAATGGCAAAAAAATAAGGGTAAAATATATCAATTATTAACAACATTATTAAATTTTAATTTCAGGTCCGCACATATAAAAGGCTTACAGAGTTAAAAGTAGAGAATTCAGCATTGGGTTCACTAGATAATGTACAACCAGGGGATTGTATAGTTTGTTTTAACAAAAATGACATATACAGTGTAAGTCGAGCCATAGAACAGAGGTCAGTTCCATGAGGCAGGTATCTCATTTCGTATAGTATTAGAATTTGTTACTACCCTCAAAAGTAAAAAAAAATAGTGCCTTCACTTCTTCATTTAATGTAATTTTAATAATTCAGATCACTTGGATACCTTTTTTGTGCTTGCATGGATACTTCCAGCCAGTTTGCTTTGAATCAGCTTTGGTTTTTCTAAGGGCCATCTTGGTCAGGACATATTAGGACATATTTAACATTTACTGCTTTTATTGCATAACAATAATAAATATACCTTGGGACGGACTGAATAAATTCTTCTTAACGGACATTGCTAATAAAAAACTTTGTTTTGTGGTTGGTTCAGACGGATCCCCTAACACCTAGTAACAGTGTAGCAACACCTGAAAATTGTGTATGAAACAGACACATATACTATACATTTATTATCTAACAAATACTTTAGTTAAAATTGTGCAATTTTTTAAAAAAATATGTCAATTTGAATAAATTTATTTCAGGGGTCATGAAGTAGCTGTGATATATGGGAGCTTACCGCCTGGTACAAAATTGGCTCAAGCTAATAAATTTAATGACCCGGAAAGCTCATGCAAAGTCATGGTGGCTACTGATGCTATTGGCTTAGGAATTAATTTGTGAGTTTATGTACATACATACACGCAACTAGTGCCTTGGTGGTAACGCGCATTGCGTGTAACTTTATTTTCTGGGTTCGATTCCAAGTAAGGCAGGCAGCTGGGGTGGCTACCTATTCGATTCAGACGTCACGCTCATCTTCTTCAACTTCTATACTCATTTTTCTTCAAGTTTCTATCAACATTATTCTCCGGACTATCAGTAACGTCCCCTGGTATGTGACTAATGCTGAGATCCACGAACACCTGGGAATGCTCACAGTGAGAGAAGAAATAACTAATATCAAGACCAGATACAGGGAACGGCTAGCAGCCCACCCCAATGCCCTTGCACGACAGCTCACGATGCAGAGCTATGTTAAACGCCTTAAGCGAAAAGACATTCTATAATGTGAAGAATTATGAGTAGATGTTCTCACTGGAGGACACACTCCGAACGAGATAAGCATCCAACATATTTGCTAAAAGTGAAAGCACTGATTGCAGATGGAGAATATACAAAAAAAAGAAAAAAAACTTCTATACTCAATTCTTTTCAATCCGAAAACCCCTTCTTATCTCAAAAATCACTTTAAATTCTTAGGTCCTTCTAACTATATGTTACGCTCTTCTAATAGATGTTTATTGGAAATTCCATCCCACACTTCATCCTTCTTAGGCAATTCATTTACGATCTCCGCCATTAAGCTGTGGAATACGCTGCCTCTCTGTCATCTTATAAAACTCTTCTGTATAATCATTTCTTAACCTTATCCTATCCTCATCAATCGTGACTTGTATAATTCTTATGATTCCTTTTACATCACTATTCGCTGTTCATGTATTTGTAAGATTAGTTTTTAAGTTTTTAGTTTGTTATTAATTTTTTTTTTTGTATTATTTTAGATTAAGGATTCTGCACTTCTCGCACGCATCATGTGTCTTTTTTTTTAAGTTTTTCTCTTAACTAGGGTTGCTATACCTATACCGTACAATAAAATTGACGGTACGATTTTTCACTGAGTTGGAATATAACTAAATTTGTTTGACAATAAAACAAATTGGATCAGTAGTTTTTATATATTCTCTATGCAATTCATTTCTGTAATATTTTTTTCTGTTAAGATGGTTATTGAAGTATTTTTTAAATTACATTTTAGGAGTATAAGGCGAATCATATTTTATTCTCTCATAAAGCCTATTGTGAAAGAAGATGGAGATAAAGAAATGGACGTCATCAGTATTTCCCAGGCTTTACAAATTGCTGGTGAGTTATCCATTTATTGTCTCACACATATAAGAAAAAAAAGGGAAAAAATATGTTTGGTGGCAACTAAAAAGAGACTTTTCACAGCTGTTATTTAAGGATGGCATAATGATAAAATTAATAAGGATTTTCTGACTGTTCGGTTAGTTCTCACTGCCGAACTTAAAGAAAATTTGTTTTAAATTTGCAATTTTTTAATCAATGCCCACTGATGATTACAAGATTTATGTTTTATTGATGATGCTATATTCGTAGAAACCTCAAAATCAAATAATAAAATTAATCATAAAATCAGTGACCCCTATAAAATATTGTTCTTTTTTTTGATTTTAAAAATTGTATAGTGACAAGAAAATGTTTAAAGAATTTTCTGATTGAGATCACAAAACATCAAATTTATTTGTTTATACTGACGGTTTTGAAGTAAATAAATTTTGTCTTTAAATTATATATATATTATATATATTACTATCTGTTTGTACGTTCCTGTCCATGGTATTCTCAATAGCCCTACTGAAGATTACTGCTGTAGCGGGCAAGCCTTGACTTGCCCGAGTGACCAAGAGCGTTCAGATTGAGGACAGAACCATGAACACTGCACAAGAATATATTTTTATTCTGTGTGCGTGTTAATTAAGGCTTCTTTTAATAATTAAACATTGATTAAATTCCGTAATACAGTGTAAACTCTAACATATAGTATAAGATCCCGCTATACAACGACCTTCACCGAGATGCTTATTTAATGAAACTTATTTTATATTTAATTTAATATGTCAATAAATATAATCCATATGGGTTGCCTAGCAAATTTCAGTCCAGAGTATGTTTAATTAATATTTAAAAAAAAAATTTTTTTTATAATTTGCATGTAGTAAACTTTTTGAACTTTTTTCAATCAATATTTTTAATCAGGGTAGTATTATATATGTATCACTATAACCTTCTTTTATACTAATGATGTATATATACTTTAGTGTCACATAAAAAATATACACATAAATAATTAATTGATTAAAAACAACCTAACGTTTGCATATTCTATGGGCTTCATACGTTCGATTGGTATAGAATTTATCTAATAATCATACCGGTGAAATGTTTAAAAAAATTTTTTTTTTAAAATTAATTATACATACTCTGGACTGAAATTTGCTAGGCAACCCATATGGATTATATTTATTGACATATTAAATTATATATAAAATAAGTTTCATTAAATAAGCATCTCGGTGAAGGTCGTTGTATAGCGGGATCTTAGACCAATATCTTGATTTATCGACGAAATTTCTAAAGCGTAGAAATCAATTGGCTTTGGTTGGTTTGGCTTGTCTTCCATACAATAATAAACTCTACTATTACACCCCCTCTCAATAACGACAATAATTGAGTCATATAGTACTTTTTAAGTTGCTAAAAATAGGAAAAACTGGGCAGCTGTGTACGTTCTTTTGCCGCTTTATTATCCTAGCCCGCGATAAACACGACTGTTACGCATCATGCATACGAACTTTCCAAGAAATTCGTTCTTTTGTTTGCAAATTGGGATTGCTTGCACGTTTAGACTGTTGTTGACCAAGACAAAAAAGTACGAGTCTGTATTTAACGACAGCTCTCTAAAACGTCATAATATGCACAGTCCCTTCAGTGTCGTTATATAGAGTTTACACTGTATTTTGTTCCTAGAAGTTGCCATACAAACACGTTTTCTTATAGGCCGGGCAGGCAGGTATGGTAGTGTGTGGGAAACGGGCTTTGTTACCACTTACAGACCTGAGGATCTCCCCACATTGAAGATTTTGCTATCGAAACCACCAGAACCAGTGACTCAGGCCGGTCTCCATCCGACCGCTGAACAAATGGAGTTATATGCTTATCATCTACCTCATGCCACTTTGAGCAGTCTTATGGTGAGATTTTTACTTTTCTTGGTTAGGCATGGCTTTCTTTTCACATAGTTAAAGTCTGACTTCCATCCAGTGATGAAGGGAAAAGTTATTTCAGCTTTCCATTAATGATTTAGATTTTGAAAACTTTTTAGATTATTTACTATAGAACTTACACCAATTGTAATTTTTAGTTTCGTTTAGTATTGGTTGAAAAATTTGAATTTCAAGAACCCGCCCAAACGCTTTCCTAGGCAAGATGGCGTCGCACCAGCCCCTATGGCGTACCATGATGGTAAACACGTAAACAAACGTCAACTTACGTATTAATTAAGAGGAAATTAAACTCCTAGACAGTATTACGTTACGACAGACCCAATACGTATTATTTACAATCATGCTGCGCCATTGTCGATGTGACTAATCTGTGACCGTTTTGTATCACGTGACGTGTATAAAAAACAATCTTTTTAATGTATAGATATTTTTCTAAATGAATGATTATTTACAAGTTAATACAGATTACCTACCTCTGTATTCGACTTATGTTTTTTCAGGAATCAAATATAAGAAGGTTTAAATTATATTTTTAATGAACGTCAAAAAAATCTATTTAATGTCTTTTAAAATAAATAAAACATAACACTTAAATATAATTATATAATTGATTTATTATTTCACATTATCTCCAATATTGAAACACAAATTATTTGTATCTTTAAATATCAACTAATTTGTAAGACTTTTTTAACAATGCCCACATAGAGACACCTCCATTTCTCGAATTCTTGTTAAAAACTAAAGTTCGTCATTTTTAACTTACAGGACATATTCGTACACTTATGCACGGTGGACGATTCTCTATACTTCATGTGCAACACGGAAGCCTTCAAGTTCCTAGCTGAGATGATACAACATGTGCCGCTACCTCTCCGCGCTCGATACGTCTTCTGTTGTGCTCCTATTAATAATAAGCTTCCTTTTGTCTGCGCTACATTCTTAAAGGTAGGTTTTCTATATCTATCTATATGCAAGCTATATGTCTTAACTATTTATCAATCTAATGGAAGGGAAAAAATAAAGGAAAAAAAATATTGTCGTTTTGGAATTTTACTGATGTCAAAAAATTTAATTATATTTATACGCAAGAAAATGAATACTATTAACGCCAATAAAGAAAAAAAAAACTGTTTCTGAGTTTACTGACAGATCTCAAATAAACCTGCAATAATTATTATATTTATATAAAATATATTTTTTTATGAAATAAAATCTTTATTTCTTCAAAAAAAAACTTAGGCTAAGTACATAATATTTTTATTGCGAGCAAACATAATAAATATTTAAGAATATTTTGTACGAAATAATATTTGCCCGTGAAACAATTTTGTATCATTCTAAATGTACACAAGATGTTTTGCATATGGGCTAGTTGTTGGAATGGTGGGGCCATTGTTATATATTTTTGCCAGTTTTTGTTTTACAAAATGGTTGCATTACACAATGCTCCTTGAAGCATTAATTATATTAAAAAATTAAATGTGGCACTCGGGGACTGCCGCGGTAAAGCTATTGCATATCATTTTTTATCAACTTATGCAATTATAATTATTGTGCAGTATTTTTTTTTCTTTGATATTAATTCAATCTACCAGACTCAGCCTAACACACCTATATAGTTTGTCTCACTCTAACGCGTACCGGCTGCACTGGCTGCGCTTACGCTACGTCACCGATCTCGTCAGACAGATGTGAATACGCAGTATGCGTTCTGTCCCACTCTAACACACCTGCGCTACGTCACCGATCACGCCAGACCGATAATCTAACGCGTATCGCGTATGCGTACGTCATCGTGTGTTAGGTTTTTCGTTACGGAATTTCTTGATTCGGTCGCCGCGCTCAAAGCCCGTGGATAAAATCTATGCAATAGCTTAAAAAAACGGTAAGCCTAGGAGACGTAGGAGCACAGTATCAAATTGAACCAAACATTTTTTCATCATGAAATAATTATTACTGTATTTGCATGTGGTGAAGGGTACATAAGTAGAAATTATAAATTTTTTTAAGATTTCAAGTACCGATATGATACATAGGCAAATTGTTTTTTTACATATTCTGCCAATTGCGTGCAGTTTCGTCTAAGGTAAAGTTATGGTTTAACTACTAAATTACACAATATACATACACGAATTCGGACGAGTCACACGTAACATCCCTTCAAACTAGCCCTTTTGTTACAGATGGTGCGCCAGTACAGTAGAAACGAGCCCTTAACAAAAACCTGGCTCAGTAACGTCGTCGATTGGCCAATGCCAGCACCTAAGACTATTATGGACCTTGTTCACTTGGAGGCTGTGTTTGATGTACTGGAATTGTATCTTTGGCTTAGGTGAGCTATCTTTATTCTTTGACTTATCCGGTAAATAAAAAAAACTAATGTTTATTTCTGTTAGTGCTCAGAGGAATTTTTGTCTTTAATAATATGGTTTATACTTTATAGATTGTTTGTTTGTATATTTAGTTTACTCTTAGAGAGTTATATCATGAATGAATATCGAAATAACGTCCCACACGTTGCATATGTACGGGTTACGTATACGTTTACTATTTACTTTGTAAAGTGAAGCCTACGTGGATCATTGTTTTTTATTTATTTTATCCTTTTTCTCAGTTTTAGTCATAGTCTGACAGTTTGAGTAATTAATGCCTGCCCAAATGTCTTGTCTTTGGACTTGACAGGTCCACTCAATCTGTGTGGTTCTTTCCTCAAAAGACCATTTCAGACTGCAATCTACATGGTCTTCACATAATCTTGTTATGTCTGGACTTTAAAAGAGACTGTGACCTCTGAGTTTGTTTCGGCGTTTCTTCTCAGAGTAGTCAGCTAGGAAACGTCGATCTCATCTAGTTTTAAAAAAAATATGTCTGACGTGTAAAAGTGTTTGTAAAAACCTACTTACAGAAATAAATCATTTATCATTTACGTACCATTGCTGGTAGACCAATGTGCATAATTTATATTATTTTAGGACATCCCCGTCGGTGTCTGTATGATCATGACAAGTTGACACGAAACGGATTTTGTATTGGTATAAAGGTGTCTGCCCACTATCCCGTTCCGTCACCGGCCGACCCGTAGCGTGCCATGCACGGGCCGTCAACTATTCGTCGGAGGAATATTTTGCCGGTGCGGACACGCTACGTGCATGGCCGCGACGTTGCCAGACCGGTGACTGACGGGGATATGACCGTTACAAACCCGTTTTAAATGCGTTAAATTTGAATATACACATTCGGAAGTACTGAAAAAACTTTTCTCCGTCATCAACTAAGTGCCTGAATAATGTCCAATATTAACACTGATTTTGTACGAGAATGAACCGATGCCTTACGAGTGTATTGAAAAGTTTCTGCCGTGCACATACGGGCATCATACAGATTAAATACGGGTTACATACGGGTTGTAAACGGGTTCAGAACGCTGTCGGCCCGCTTCAGTGGGCGAAATAGAGCGTACCGGATTGCCTTTCCGTGCTGGATACGTTCCTACACGGTCATGGTATGCTACGGGATAGTGGGCAGACACCTTTATGATAAGGTTTATGTGTGTGATTAACATTATACCGTAATTTGGCTAAAATATGCTGAAACTTTACGATCCAAGGCTGTATATTTTGCTCAATCAGTTCTTAGTTTTATAAGCGTGGCGATTACCTAAATTGTCGGGAGTTCTCGAAAGTATAGACGCACGCACTCTTCGTCATTTTAATGTTTAATGTTTAAAGAACTTTATTTCTCATTACAAAATTATTTTATTTACATGAGAAATTTAATATTATATACGAAGAGATACACGTCGCCATCAGCTAGCCCAATTTTAGTCTAATGGGCTCATTCTGATGTGTATCTTTAATGCCCTTTTGAACTGATTAATCACGCTAATTTTACGAACCTTAGACGGCAACCGATTAAACAATTGCACACCCATTGCATTGCATTTTAATAAGCATAGCATTATACAATTCAATTGTCTAGCATCAATCTGTTATATGTAACGTGTTATACGAGTCAAAATTATATTCTATAATATTTAAAGCATTCCCGTGACTTAACTCAACAAATGGTACAATTATCGTTTAAGGGATTGCATTGCTCAATACTTGGCGATTAAAAAGAATGGCGTAATGTTTCTTGCCAGTTCTTCTTACCCGCTCTACGCCTTTGACTTGCGAACTGGTAGTACTTAAATGTAAATTTACAATTAATTTAACTTCTTTTTGTCGTTCATATAAGTGTACTTGTTTACCTATATGAATAAAGATATTTTGAGTTTGAGTTTGCAAAAACTCTTGCCAAAATACAATAAATCCACTGCGGGCGGCTAGTAAAAGCAAAATTAAAAATAATGATACATTTCTTACATTATCTATGCTAAGGTCGTTATATTATAATAAATATCAATGTTCTGTATACATATATATGTTTATTTTTACATAGCTATCGGTTCCCGGATATGTTTCCAGACGTCAAATTGGTCCGAGAAATGGAGGCTGAACTTGACGCTATCATACAGCAAGGAATCTTTCAAATTACCAGGTAATTTAAACAATTTAAACTAACGGATTTTTACATGTATCTTTTTGACGTTTCGAATATCCTTTAGAAGTCACCGTAAAAAATTAATTATATAATATATAGTTTTTTATCGTACGGGAAAATGGCAAGAGGCTCAGCTGATTGTAAGTGATACTGACGCCCATAGACAATCACATTGCCAGAGGGCTCGCAAGGGCGTTGCCAATCTTATAAGAATTGTTTTTTTTTTGACGGCCCCTAAGTCGAATTAGTTCGAAAATACTTAAGTGGATAGCTGACTCCACATAGCGGTGGCGCTCATAAAAACTGCCTTAAAAACGTTCAGTTGTGGAACGACAGGCGTCGAGGTGAAAATATTATTCGTCGTTATTACAATATTATATTATTTTTCAGCAGCAGCGATCCTATCTATTATGATATCCCTTTCAGATGACTACCCTAATAAATAATTGGTCACCATACATTCTTTGAGAATATATTTGTGCGCCTGATAATTTATCAATTGAAAAATAACAACTGTTTTAATATCAACCCAAAAAACACAGTTACGAAACGAAACATTAAGTTTCTTTGTGGGGTTAAAATTAGTGTTCTTTATTTTTTTATATGTATTTGTATATTATTTTTGAAGTTATACTTATTTACTTCTTTTAGCGCGTTAAGGAAAAATTATGAGAGTAAATTTTTACGATGCGCGCGCACACCGTCACAAAAAAACCGACACCCTGAAGTTAGCTATAGTCAACATTTTAGCTTTTTCTAATATTACTGTAGTTTTTTCTATAAACATAGAATAATTTTTTTTAAAAGACTTATCTTATTACGCCAAAGAAGTATAACTTCTAACGCGTGTACATAAATACACACACTTTTTTATATTCTATTCTTATTTGTAGGTTATTAAGAAATTCGGAGCAAGTTTTTAAAGACGGATCTGAGCTGGAAGAAGTCGGTCGTGGTAAGAGAAGTGGAAAGGTTCATGGATATTCAAGGCCCGGTGACGAAAAGAAGAAACTCTCGGAAATGCTTGTTGCCAAGGTATTTTTTTCAAGATAATTTTTAGTTTTTATTCTGTGAGCGATATATAATAGGACGTGAAAGTACAAACATTTAAACCACAACCAGAGCCAGAAGTATGCTCACACAAATAAAAGTATAATTGGAGGTTAGCTGTCCCCTGGAGATGCACATGCCTCAAAATCACCAAATGACGATGATAAGGCACCAGTTTACAACACACAAGGTTAAAGATACAGTACATAAATAATGAAAAAGTAAAAATGTTACCTTATACTAATAATGTCTTTAAATTAATAAATCAGTGGCTCCACTTCTTTAAGTCTGGGCCTCAGATTTCTTAATCTGTTTCATGATTTTCAAACTCGTAGGCAAGCCATGATCAGCCGTCTGTGCCTGACACACGCCGCATTTTTGGGTCTAAGTAATAAATAGAGTAAAATGATTTTTTCCACTTTTCTTAATTAAATCTGTTTTTGCTATATTTTTTCTTGTTTTAATGAAATACGTCTAAAGAATAATTAACATTTGAACTTTAAATTAAAGAAACTACACTAGATTTTGGTGAGAATCTTAGTATAAACTGTTAATTAATTAACTTCAGTAATGTTATAGTAGAACAGCTTAATATTTTATATAGATATACAAAAATAATGACACACTAGACGAACTATTTTGCATCGGGGCTCGTAGTATCATAAGGGCGTCCATAAATTACGTGAGGTGTTTTTTAAATTTTCTGTACCTCCCTCCCCCTGGTGAGATGTCGTGAGAGTTTTTCAAAATGTGGGTTTCTTACTAAACGCGTTGGATTGTTATTGTAAAAAGAAAAAAATTACTTGCCTAGTGCTTTGATTTACGACTAAAACATAAGTGAAATTAGCGTTTAGGTATAGAGTTAAGGGAATTGAACTATCACGTTTTTAATTCAGAAACAATTACGTGATATTTGCCGAGACCTCCCCTCTCCCAAAAGTAAATTTAATTATTTTTTTCCCCCCCCCCCCCCCCTAAACATATTTATGGACGCCCCTAAATATCTTGGTCGGAACAGTACATAGTATACTTTATTCATACTATACATAATCAACTATAGCTAATGAGAAATGTCGTTTTGGGTCCCAAAATCGTAACCACGGCAGCGTGGTACTATCTTTAGTTCACATAGTTTCTGGTGAAAAGTAAACTCCTTGCGTTTCTCGCATTTCTTCAACTCCTTGGTTTTGTAACTAATTGAGCAAACGAATATAGATTTTGATAAATCAAATAGAAACCAGCGAGGAATGGTGCTTGTAATTATGGTCCATTTTATCTAAGGTTATCTTCACAATTATAACTATCGTTTATCGACCCAGTACATTGTTCTACAAAGCTATTGAGTAGCTATATATGCCAAACTTTTTTTTGTCAAATGCGATTTTTAAGCGATAAAAAGCTATAAATTGCAGTAAATCTGCTTACTTGAACGGCCCCAAGTTAACTATTCAGAAATTATTTTTGAAGTTATACTTCTTTAGGCGCGTTATGAAAAATTTATGAGAGTGAAATTTTACGATGCGCGCGCAACGTGACACAAAATTAACAGAACGAAGTTGCCCACGGACGATGCTACGGCATTGGGCATAATTCAAAAACAACATTCGAATAATAATAGAATTTATGTTACCCTTAATGTAAGAGAATAATAATAAATATTTATTTATTTAATTTTTCAAATGTAAACTGAACAATTTTTAACAATCCAAGAAATTTAATATAACAAAATTTTTCCGTATGTCACCTCTGTTGAATAATGCAGACTTAATCGGTTACAGTTGGAACATTAGAATTTTTATCGTTATTTATGTTGTCTAATAATTTGTTTCAGGGTTTAATAACACCACAAATGTTGAAAGAATTGCAACAAGAGCTGTCATCCGACAAACAAGACAGAAGTCGAAACAAAACAATTAATAGAAATAGAAGGAAATGAAATATAAATGAATGTGGAATAAATTATATGTGATAGTTTAAGTTTGTTTTATTAAATACAAAACGATAAACCTTGATTTTTTTCTTTATTGTTTCACCCTGAGTTACATAGGCCATAATTATCTACATTATATAATTTGACTTAAATCGTAAATCTAGTTTACGAATCTGATTTTTGTTACATTGTATGTTTTACACAGAATAAAAGGAATACTTACATAAAATTACAAAACTGTCGCTAATGACTTTTATAGTGTACCTACCATATTCAACATGAATGGAAATTGGTTTTTGGAAAACGTCATGAATATTAAACAGTTATTTGGTATATCAATGTGTTTTTATTGAGAAGTTTTTTGTATCTGCTAGGTACTGACTTTCGCGTAAGAAAATTTATTTATCTATATCAAGATTTTCAATGTTTACGACACATTCTCCACAAACACATTAATTGCATATAATATACATAACAATATGAAAAATATCTACACAGATTTTCGTCTTTACGCAATAAACGCGTACATAATTCTTATCACGCAGTTAAGGTATTATGTAAAAATGTACCGTCAAAAATTAGTTTCAAAGTAAAAATAACACAATAGTTATTACTATTATTTTATAAAACACTTATGACGTGTTCACACCTTGGTACAACTAAGTTGATAAAAATAATAACAAAAATCAAACTCGTTAATAGTGTCATTATTCTAACGTAATTGTGTTTTAATAATTAAAGTCTTCAAAGTTTTTGATAGTGTGTGGGTAGTTCAGTTGTATCTTGGACTATATCAACCCTGTTGACATTACGAGACACATTATCTTATGCTTTAGTGTACTTATTAAACAAGAATCTTAATGAGTGATAGTGATATCGGATTGAACCCAAACGAAGAAAATGTTGCGTTTCGTTTTTACAACTTTATTCGTTATAACAAATGGTATATTTTAAAATCATTTACTTTATTTTTTAAATTTAAATTCGTTCGATATATAGTGATTTAACATTTAGTGTTTAGCTTATAGGACTTTTGATGTGGACGGCGAGGAAACTATATTGGCTTTTGAAAATGAGAAAATTCATATTGGATGCAAATCGGATTATCCCATGACTTACTGCGGTTTTGTGGATCCGTATGGAAAGCGATACTCGTAAGTACGAGTATATCTTTATTAAAGTAGTTGTACATTATCAGCTTTTAATCTTTATATTCTTTTAGTAATTTCAATGTGAACTAAAGCATGAAGAGCGATGGAAAAAACAATGAATGCGTAACTTTCAGTGCCCTTAACAAGCCCTGTTTTTTAATCTCATATTTATTTGTTTAATTTCTAAAATACAATAAAACCACAGATATTGTGGCTTCAAAACCCTACACGGTTTATATGACCCTCCGGATTACTATCACTACTACATTCACTTTTTAAGTCGCTTTAACTAAAGATAAAACTTCTTGTGATGACTAAAATACATCTTATTACTTGACGATTGTATATTCTTAGACTTAAGCTATTAAAAATATTGTACTTATATGGGAAATTATACCATGATGTTCGTTACGTCAAAATATTATAGTATGTTGTATAATATTTTTAAAAGATTTACAGATTTGGCTGTACGTGACGGTCAATGTGTACATGTTATTAAAGCGAAAAAGGCCGATAGCGGGGAGTGGAAATGCCATATCGGTAGCAAATCAGTTCGGTTGGAGACTATCAAGAAAATCCGTGTAAGAGTGGTTAGTCAGTTAGCCGCAGTTCAACCAAATATTACGGCACATCTTGGGAAGCCGATGACCTTAACTTGCGCCACAACTGGAGGCTTTATCCCACTAAGTTACTGTCGATTTGAACCGCCAAATGGGAGATCTTTTAGTATCGACGAAAGTGTAACAGATTCCAAGTAAGACTATTCAATTTGAGCGTATCCAACTAAATTAGAAGTATGAAATGTGAACAATTATATGGCCTTCTCTTCTTGCGAAGTAAAACAAAAACAGTGCTTTGATAACTTGGTGAATACGACTCAACTGTGTTTGTTTTTCGGGGAAAAAAAAAATTTTTTTCCCTACCGAAAGGATAAATAAAACAGATATAGAAATACATATGCACCACGGATACCCATGTAGTAGTTAATAGTCAACGGAAATAGGATACATTATTGCGTTATTGGCCTATAATATATTGGTTACATTACCCGTTTGGTTACCAACGTATGAATACAAATGCGAAACTACGATTATAACATTCTTATGAGAAATGCTTACTATTTTATGTTTGATTCCTCTTAGAATTTAAAATATTTTAAATCATTTTTTTAATAATAAAGTTGATTTGTTTTTCTCTGTAGGCATTTTATAATTGATTTTTAATTCATCATTTTCCTAACCTTCCCATGCAACATGGGAAGGTTACAACGCAAGATAATTTATCTTCTTTTACAGCCCTATTCTGAATAGGTATTTCTATCCTAATAACCGAAGTCTGGACCGAGGAGATTGTTGTGTTACTATACGTAAGGTGAAACCTGAGGACCAAGGATTATGGATGTGTGGGGCTGGCCTGGAAGACGGCAAAGAGCATTTCGACACTATTACCTTAGATATTGAAGGTTTATTTTAAATACCTTTATATTTCTTATACATACATAGGTGTAGAATAATTCGCCTCGTGGTGCTTTTGCGTGTGTCGCGCGTGGTACGTAATTAAAAATGATATCAATTTACTTGATGTGTCTGTTCACCTTGATTGAATTTTATTTCATATAAAATTTAAATATTTTTAGCTTTCATTATTTATTTTAATTGCATTGACGAAGATATTTTGTAAACAAACGGAGAGCTGATTGCCAATTCTCGTTTATTATATTACCATGATTTGATATCTGGCAGTACCTAAATATAAAAGCATTTTTATTAAGATCAGGGCTTACTCTGTAACTTCTAATAGCGATCCCGATTTCAATAAATTGTTGTTCGGTGCGATTCCAAGATTACGACACGCTACTACGGATAACTACATAGAACTTGCATACAAAAACGTTGGGTACGGTCCTACTAGAAATTACAGACGACTGAAGACGAGCGCTGATGGTAATACACTTAAATACAGACAAAATTTTTTTAATAAGTCAATTACACCTGATTGGTAAGTTGTTATTATAAATTAAAATATTTTGTTAATAGCTACAGCCTATTATGTAGCGATAACTAATAACTGATGAAGTCAGTCCAGTAGTTTTGAGTTTGTCCATTACAAACTTCCACTTGTATAAAATTAGTATAGTTTAATAATTTAACTCAAATAAGAAGATAAAATTTTTGAACAAATTTCAGGGATCAACACAATGTCCACAGCATCCACAACAGCGGTAACTATTGGTGGGATTTTGGTAGCCGTTGCCTTGGGTTTCATTCTTTACGGGCTGTGGAAGAGAAAGGGACTATTAGGAGTCCAAAATCAGCCTGAAGACATAGAAATGAGAACACCACAAGCAAGAAGACAGGTGCCAGAGTTGGTTGTTATATCTCCTTCTACAGCTACTCCTGCCGAGTCTCCACTCATGTCGAGTACGAGGTCCGAATAATGCTTTAAATGCTCTGTTGAATTTAGATCATGCTATTAATTGTAGTATCGGGCTCGGCATCCCGATGCTGCTTGTGGGTAATTTTGAACAACTAGGACGAAGATTTTAATGTGTTGTTGACGCAAATAAAACTCAGTTATATTAACACTTTTGTCATGGCTATTGTTAAAATTGTATTAGGATTATTGCATCTGTTAATGTAAATAAATAGATTTAATGTAAATTAAAATATATTTTTTATAATATACTCTACTACGATAAAATTGTGGAAAAGAAATATATATTATAAAGACTACACTTTATAAATTACCCCTTATTCTATTGTTGCATGATTTTACAGACGCTGATGACCACACTTTTCCGAGGAAAAATAAAAAAAAACACTAACTTAGTACTAAAAATATGCAGTTAAATGCCAAATAAACAGTGTATTAAAAATTTCTATAAATTTGAGTGATATGTATGTATGCACGTGAGTGCGTGAATGATCATATGGAAATGGCTACAGCCTCCATAGACTGTCTCACCTCAAACCACTACCAGTAAAAAAAAACTACATCTGATAGCAAACATTCTGAATTTTCAATCGTTTGTAATTTGTATCTCGATAATTTAAAACCACCTTGGATTATTAGAGACTAATTAGTCTATATTTTGTTGAGGGAAAGTATGAATGTGTGGTCCTACAAGGGTAGGTTGTTTTTTTTCCAGACAGTTTATGGAACCGAAGGCAGTTTGAAAGAAAATATAATTTTCGTAGAGCAAGTATTGGTTTCTTTGTGGAGTCTCACCGTGGAATATCTAAATGGCTTCCGATTAGCAAACCTTGAGCACTGCTCGTTCTAGCAGTTCTCTTTTATTGAGATTTGATTCGAACGTTCCTCCCCAAGCAGTTATGGAATAAGTAAGCAGGGACTGGCAAGAACATGGTACATTGTTTATAACCTATTTAAGCTCCTATAATTTTAACATCTACATAATTTTAAAGGTTCTGGTTTTTATACTAAAAACATCGGCATGCCTTAGAGCCAAATAGTCGATGGCGTGTGGTCCGGTAATTGGCTATTTTAAAAAATGATCTCGAAACATATACAGAAATCTAAGTTTTACTGATTTTTTTAAACGGCGCAACATATGGTTTCTAGATTTAAATTCGCCGCGCTAAGAGAGAGCCTTCAGGTAGGTAGAAATTTGGAAACAAACCTTGTTAAAATAATCAATAAATCTTCTTGGTATTAATTCTACTCATAAGCCCTAATCTTATTTCCGTTTTGGGGGGGTTTTTGAAAGGTTAAGTTTTTCTTTTTTTTTCAAATATAATTTTTCTTAACTTTTATTTAACATTAATCTTAGTTTTACATAAATAAAAATAGACAACAGTACATTGAAATATTGTTGGTTATTAAATTTTTGTATATTTAAAACATTATTTTAACTTAATAACTAGGATGGTTAAGCATTATGGCCAATCGCTCCATATTTACAGCATAGACAGAATGACATGCTATCACATTCTTTTGTACCAGTAAGGTGTTGTAAAACTCATCAATAGAAAGTTTCTCGTCTTTTGTTTCAGCATCGGATACACTGTAAAAGAGGGGAACAAATTACAGAACCTACAAAAATTAAAAAAAATCTTTGGAAAACTTTTATTGATAATTTTTCTTTTAATCCAGGTAGGTTAGAGTTAGGCCTTCTATGCCTTTCAACCTAAAACAATTACTGTTGTGGGATATCAAACCCCTAAAACATTTGCTAAGCCTTGGACAAGGTAAAATGTGGCCCGTTCCTAAAATTTTTTTTTTTGTTGTTAACACTTAATTAACATGGGACATACCTGCATGCAATCTCATATGCAGCTGAATGTTCTACTTCATCAATTGTTGGTGGACATCTAGGCCCCAGGGCATCAGGACCATCATCTACATTAACTCGTCCATCACTTTGCGGGTCATATAACTTATTTACACTTCTTAACCACATATTAGGCATATCTCCACCTATATCATACATAAAGTGCCTATTACGAAGCTTGTAGCCTTTGCGTTGTGATACAACAGCACTGATTATATTTTTAAGAAAATTTTGAACAGCAACAACAATTAAATCTGATGCCTCGTCATCAGCACCTTCGAGACCAAGTTCCCATGCTGCAAGCATGAATCTCCCAACAACCAATGCATGGTCTGGCAGAAATATTTCCTGGAAATAAGATTTTTGATTTTATACTTATCTGGTTTAGATTATGGTCTTCATTACATATTTTTTAAGAAATAATGTTTTAGGATCACAAAATATCTCTCAACTACCTTAATTAAAACAAATTAATTGTTCCATGCATTAAGTTACGTATAGTGAAGATTTTATAAATTCATAAAAATATAGTATTTATATATATAGTTTATATTATATAGTATTTATTATATAAATATATTACCTGTGCTGCATACTTCACACCGTCGCTCCCTGCGCCAGGGGGCGTACTTGGAGGAAGATAATCTAACAAGTCTGCAGCTTCAAAGTTGGATTTTTCAGAAGTCCTAGAAGAGCGCTTATGCCTTCTTGTGTTTCTATTATGAGAGCTAGCTTTCTCCTGAGCGATACTGATCGAAGTTTCGGCTAGACCTTCCACTTTATTGAGTAATGCGAGCAAAAAATCATTGTGGTAGTGAATTTGTTCTTGACTCAATAATAAACGAGCTTCTGCATCAAATTCTTCTTTGGTAAGTTTCATTCGAAACCATTGTTTCATGTGACTGTAGTATTTTGTGGATTTATCACCTAAAATATCATTTAATTTTCGTCTAGAATTAGACAAAATGTCTAAAGCCATTCTAGTGGACTTTAAGCTACCATTTATTTCTTCACTTGAAAATGAGTTGAAAATAGTACATAAAAACAGTATTTAAAATTTCAAACATTGAACGACACATTACAAAAATACCAAACATTCTTGTGAAACATTCACATGTCACAACAATTCCGTCCGGGCTCCGCGGCTCACGCTCTGAACATAGAGTACAGAAGGCCCACAGTTATCGAATTTGAAGTCACAGATTACGTAATGGTCTATTCGATATTTTTAAAACGCTTTCTAATTATTTATGACTATAGAACCTCCACAAATTCTTTCTTTTAATTCTTATAGGTTCATCATCATCCAATCCCGCCAAAATACTTCTCTAGGCAAGATGACGTCAAACTAGTCCCTATCACGCACCATGATTGTAAACGCGTATAAAATTGTTCTTTATCATTCCTAAATTACGCATATATTATATTTCGATTAAACAAATTTGAATTTGAACTCCAAGATAGTTTAAGTTTAGACAGGCAAAGGCATATTATTTACAAGCAAGCTACGTCTACGTTTTGTCTAATTGGTTAGTAGTATTTATCTCGTGACTGCTTATGCTTAGTAAGAGATGCTTGGTTAGTGGTCAGAAATGTATAGAAGTGGCAATAGTGGCTTAGGTTGCGCATATTGATTAACGTTTCATAGAATGAAACCATTATGGAGCAGACGCCAGACATATTTCTGCCACTTATTCATTAATAATCTTTCTTTCATTCTTTATTGACCAGTAGGTGGATCAGTGCCTGACAGCTTTCTTCAAAGCAATTATTATCTGATTACTTTTAGCTTATCAGCTGAAAAAAAAGTGCGTGCGTACAAATTACACATGTCAGAAGTGAAACTTCTTTGTAAATTAACTATTAATAAGGTAAAATAGATAATCATGTAGCAGTATATTATGATCACTCCATGTATTTGTATATCTATATTCACACTGTTTTAAAACACTGTATACGTGCTAATGACAATATATATAAATAAAAAAACTGTGTTTACTGCACAAGACGTTATGAATTGCCATCAGAAACTACTAAACGAATACATCCAACAGCGTGTAGTTTTTCTCGATCTCCCTTACTCTCTCTCTCTCAATCTTTCTCACTATAGCTCTCTCCAAACTCTCGCACCATGGCACTGTGCGTGGTGCGACGTTCGCTCTATCTCACTATCTCTCTCGAGCTTTCTTACTTGATTGCTCCCTACTCTCGCTCCATGACTTTTTCGACCTTTCCCACTCTCTCAATCGGTCTCAATCGCTCTCTTCCTTTACTTCGACAAAAACGCTGCACATCTTCGAGCCACAACCTGAACCATCGAAGAAGAGTCAAATGGGATAGCTAGCTACCCCATTCTAATAACACTGATTGATAATATAATTATGTCGAAAATTACCCCATCAGCAAGTTGTTTGTGGAATAGGCCTACTGGTACTGGGGATGCCACGTAAAAAAAAATGCGCCTATAGACTATACCTCAGAGTCAGTAATAAATAATTAAAATTGTTGGAATTAAACAAAAATTTTCGAAAATTTGTTTAAAACAAACGAGAGATCATAAAAGTAAACTAAAAAATTTTTGTTATGATCGGCTTGTCATGAGCATTGACGAACCCGGTCAACTGCTGCGCTGTAACAGCGTTTCCAATTAACAAAATTAAAAATTTATGAAAATCTTCAGAAAGAGATCCTCTACAAAATTGTTCTGATATAATTGTTTGATAAAATCAAAAGAAAAAAGTTATTAAGCAATAAAGGAATTTTTTTCACTTTTTTACTTATAACATTTTGAATTTTGGAATTATAATAAAAAACCACACAGACATAATTGTAGGCAATGCAATTTGCTACAAAATATGTCCTTATAATTTTTTTGTACGATGGATAGTTTAGGAGATATAACCAAAAACGTGTTTCACCCCTTTTTCCAAGATGGCTGGGGACAAAGGCGCCAACCGCACAAACTTGGGTTTAAGTTTGTATTGGCCTCTCTACATGTCCCATAAATAAAATTACGTCCTCTAATAAATGTTGGCCCTCAAATTGTAACATTTCAATGAACTATTGGTATTTTCGCGAAAAGAGTGGTAATAAATTATTACGTTCTAGACATTCGTCAAAATGTGCCGTCGTAATTTGCGGTTACCGTGTCTTCCGTAATTATGTCAAAACAGTGAAACAATCACAAACGATTTTGCTCTTTAGTCTAATTAGATGAATTACTTATGTACAGTTAGGTATTGTTAAACTATTTACACTAAATACATAACTTAAATTTTATTTAAATTTTATAATAGGCAAAAAAAGTTGCTTTCATTTTGTATATAATATTTGTATATGTACTTAGTATTCTAGTAATAATAGCATTACTTTCTTTTATTTTTCCTAGATTTGCTTTGACGACTTTGTTATTCACTTATATCGATTATTATTTATTATTGTTTATTGTAAGGTTTATTTCACAGGTTAAAGTAAATCGTAGACTTGATACTTATTATTACACTGAATGATAACAAACACCATATATTTACACCATATAAAATTACAATAATTTATACTATTTTATTCTAGGAATTAATTTTATTTTGACTCCGTTTTTAGAACGCAAAATAAGGTCTGAACATAGGGCTGGCTCTATGTCGGAAGGCAGTATTTTAAAACTCTTGACAACTGCCGCTATTACAACTTTCATCTCCATCATGGCGAATTTTTGACCTGCAATCATAACAACTTGTTATACAATAAATTGGTATGGGAATAAAAAGACTATTGTCAAAAATGTTATTCACACTTATTTTTAAATCGGACCCGACTAAGGTTTCGTCAGTCAGTCGTTTACAAGTTTATCTAACATTAAAATAATTTCGAATGAAATAGTCCCATAGCAGATTGGCGCGTACAAACAAACAAACGCGAACTTTGCTCCCGTTACTACTACCCGCTTTGCTAGATAAATAAGATAGTAATTAGATATTGCGACTTACCTATGCAATTTCTAGGTCCAGCACTAAATGCTAGCCAAGCAAACGGATTCCTTGCAGCGTTAGCCGGAGAATCGAATCTCTCGGGCCGGAATTCCAGGGGATTGTCATATAAATCTGGATGCCTTTGCATGTGGAATATGTCCATGATAACCGATGTATTCTTCTTGATTTTGAGACCAGCCAGTTCTAATAGAGTAAAACTAATTGTTTGTAAAGTAACATTGTGAATTTTATATCTGGGGCCACAACTACGGCTGAGACAAAACCACTTTCTGACAGGCGTGACCCCGTATGTCATTCCCATACAAATTCGTTATTGGGTGTCGCCTGTCGAAAAGTGATTTTGTCTCAAGCCTCTGGTAGCGAGATCCTAGTAACGGTTTGTCATTTGTGATCGTATGACCATCTCCATGCGAATTCGATTAGCGTTCAATCACACCGTAAAATATTGACTAAGGCTGAGCGTTGATAGTGCAAAATAAAATTGTTAGTATATATTAATATTCCTATAATGGTAACGTGAAATTAACTCACCCCTATCCTTTGTAATCATTCGTTCAATCAGTGGTACTGAAGGATACAATCTCAACGATTCTCTAATAACTGTTTCTAAATATTTCATTTTTTGTAAGTCACTGAAAATAACGATAAAAGGAAAGTTTAAAAAAGAAAGAAATATAATTGAAATATATTCATTGGCTAAGGATTATTTCTTAGAAACATTTTAAACTTTTATTTATAAAAACTAATCTTATGAAACATTTATATGTTTTCGGGAGCCGTCATGCATTTTAAACCATATAATACTGCCTTTAGTCAGTATATTTAAGTACTTACATATTTATAAATTTATTCAAAAATATTAAATAAAATAAAATATATGAAGAGTAATAACATTAATGTTTTGTATGTATAAAACGATTTATTTGATGTTTTAGTTGTAGCAGTATTGGCCTAGTGGCTTCAGCGTGCGACTCTCATCCCCAAGGTCGTAGGTTCGATTTCGGCTGTGTACTACTGGACTTTCTTTCTATGTGCGCATTTAACATTCGAACGGTGAAGGAAAACATCGTGAGGAAAGCTGCTTGCCTTAAACCCAAGTCGACGGCGTGCGTCAGGCACAGCCTTGCGATTCTGTAACTAACTTTTCGAACTCACACAGCGGTTTTCACAGCGGCGGTCGCGCTCAAATCAGTCGTAGAGCAGTCATTTTACGATTTGACATTCTGATAAACAATAAACTACAAACTCCCTCCTTATCAGAATGCCAAATCGTAAAATGACTGCTCTACGAGGCTACAAGGCTGATCGCCTACTTGCCTATTAGATTAACAAATGATCATGAAACAGATACATAAATCTGACCTAAATAGGTTGTAGCGCCACTGATTTTTGTTTTGTTTTGGTTGTAACCACGTTTGACTTATTGTTGCTTAGTTGCTTAAGATAATTCACATTTGCTCTACAATAATTACCTATAAATTGGATCCTTACTGAGATCGTCATCATAAATATCTCTCTGCTCCTGCAATACCTTCTCCTGGACATCTTGATATTTCGATAAGCAGAACAAAGCGAATGTTATACCAGATGTTGTAGTATCGTGACCCTAAATTATTAAACTTATTTATTATTTTATTTTATTAATGCTTTCAAACATCACACATCTTCAAATGAGGACAATATGTTACAAAAAGGATATACACGTGAAGAGGCGGATTTACCAACAGGCTGAGACTGAGTAGGCTGGAGCCTAGGGCGGCATTTGGAAACCGCATTTTTTTACTACTTTATAGAAATCAATAATATTTGCCAATGAATTTTCCCTTTCACTCATTGTCATTGTACATTGGGAGTAGCGAACTTCCATATTCTAAGTAAAACAGCTAGTGCGCCTCCCACCCAGTAATCAACGTCTGCGCCCTCAGTTTACACTTTGTATGAGTGAAAAGATTGAAATTGCAGAAAATGTACTTCCCTCTTTTCTCTTCCACAATCTATCCCAACACATGTCGTTCCTACTACTGGTTGGAGGCTGTGAACTGGATGGTTTGTGTATAATTTTTGTGCTCAAAAATCAAAGTTACATATTACGTGCAATTTCAACGAAAATGTTGGATTGTAGAAGCAAGGGCTAACTTCACAGAAAATTTGTAAATCCGCCACTGTTCACGTGTAAAAATGACATGAAAACTTGACACGGCCGGCGCTAGCCAGATCCATGCAACTTCCTCAGCATCGCAGCACACAGCTCCCGAGGGGACGTTTTGTATCGAAGAAGTCGCATGGGTCCGCCAAGCATCCGCGAACGTATTTAACAAAGCATTAGAAAATAATAATATTAGGTCCTTACCTATGAAATTGGCGGTTTATATGGGAGGAACAAAAAGTCGAATATTTTTAAATATAATATATTTAATTAATCAAAGTATGTTTTCTATGCACTTTTTCCATCTCATAGGTAGTTCATTGATCCCTTTACTAAAAAAAACAGTCGAATTCCCGATCAATAAAATCTGTGAAGGCGATTTGGACTGCCCCATCAGAGTTAAATTTTTTCCCTTGCAAGAAGTTGTCCAAATTTAAAAAAAGATGGTAATCTGTTGGAGCAAGGTCCGGGGAGTACGGAGGATGTCTTAGACATTCCAATTGAAGCTCTTCTAATTTGGTAGCCGTCTGTTGTGCAGTGTGTGGTCTAGCGTTGTCGTGAAGTAGCAGTGGCGTGGAGCGATTGACCAGCCTAGGTTGTTTAGCCGCTAGCTTTTCCATCATGGTTTGCAATTGCTGACAATAGACATCAGCCGTAATAGTCTGGCCAGATTTGAGAAAACTGCAATGAACTATACTGGCACTAGTCCACCAAACGCTTACAAGTAACTTTTTTGGGGTTAATTTTCGCTTGGGGCAGGATTTGGCTGGCTGGCCAGGATACAACGATTGCACTGAGCGCTTTCGATTATCGTAAAGAATCCATTTTTCATCACAGGTAATGATTCGGTTTAAAATACCTTCATTATTGTGCCGGTTCAGTAATGTAACGCAGCAGTCGACGCGCGTTTGCCGGTTTGCTTCAGTCAATTCGTGAGGTACCCATCTTTCAAGCTTTTTAATCTTCCCAATTTGCTTCAAGTGAATTAAAACAGTTTTATCACTAACACCGCAGCCTGCAGCTAACTCGGACGTGGTTTGCGATGGATCCGCTTCCACAATAGCCTTCAATACTTCATTATCAACTTGGGTCTCAGGCCGTCCACGGGGCTTGTTCTGCAGGTCGAAATTTCCAGAACAAAAATGTTGGAACCAAAAACGAACTGTGTTTTCTTTTGCAACATGACCGCCATATACATCATTCACCCTTCGAGTCGTTTCCGCAGTACTAGTGCCACGGCGGAACTCGTACTCGTAAATAATGCGATACTTTAAGTTTTCCATTTTGTAAAATGAGTGACGCAAACAGAAAAAAACAAATGAATGACGGTCATCGAAGCACAAATACATGAGTAAATAGCTGTACAAATTTGAATTTGGAATTCCTTACCAAAGAGGAGAACATCGTGATTAAAGTGGCCAGTACGAAATACGCCAATTTCATATGACGTAAGGACCTAATAATAGTAAATAATATAAGTGGGTAGTTATAACTTGGCGAAATTTTGTCGTGAAGGGGTTAATATTCTACCTTATGGTTAAGATTGAACGTTGGAGAGATTTTCGACGTTGCGTTGCTTAAAGCGACGTAGCCGTAGTTGACCTTCGGCCTTTTTGTGCATACAAAGGTGACATTGACAGGTTTTGCTCGTGTTGATTAATAATTACAAAACTATATACCTTCTCTAAAATTATGAATATGTAGCCCGATCTTATTTCAGGCTTATTTTCTATATTATATCATAAAACCAATTCTTGTAGAATACATTCACTGTATATTGCGTTACAAGAAATTTTTGAGAAAACATTAAGTAGTTTTAGCTCCGTGTATTAAGTTTTTAAATAAAATAAAAACATAAAAACTGCCAGAAGCTTTAACGCTTGAAGGACCTTGACTGTTATGCAATGAACGGATTATGAACGTATCAGGCATTATTCTCAGTAGAATGTTCTAGCCTCAAACTTTTCTAAACAAATATTTTTTTAACAGAGGAAAACGAGACTTATATGAAACCCGAAACCACTAAACCACGGAGGCTGTAGAGCCTCCGTGGCTTATTATGTCATTCCGTAGGGAATGACATTATATTATGCTGTAGCTTCGTTGTTTACCTTCAAACTTCAAGGTTTTAAAGATTTAAAAAAAACCTGTTATTATGCAGTTTTGTTTGTAATGTAATGCTATTCGGATAAATCAACAAGTAGTATAAAGGCCCATTTAGATGGAGAGAGTTTCTCGTCTCGAATGTACGATTATCGAAAGAATATAAAAAAGTTTCTTCGTCTAAATATTCATACCTCCATATGCATATCGATATGCTTATCTAAACAGGTAGTTTATTTAGGAGCTCCGTACATAGAAGGAAGAAAGCGGATGCCGTTGGTAATAACTTCTTGTTGAGTTGAATTACTCTTTTTAAAAATTTCAGCACATTGTATTAAATCTTGTTTTTCAAACATTTTGAAAACTGCTGTTTTACCCCTCCTGTAAAATGCAGATGTCGTATCACAGCCAGTTATTGTGTGTAAAAATAGTACATGATCTTGACACTTTACAAAAGAAAATAAACTTTTTGATGAATATATATCTGATTGATGCTGATCTTTTCCTGGTTTTAAGTATATTTATATATTATATATATTTAAATTATTATTTATTTTGTTTTATGTATATTTTATATTGTAAGTATAAGTTACAATGACCGATAGAAAAATATTTAAACATTTAATTTTTATTTTTATTTATTATATAAATATATATATATATATATATATATTATAAAATATAACAACTCTAGATGTATATACGTGGCGTACTCATGCATATTATGACGATAACAACTTTTATAACTTTTTGAATTGTTATATCTCAGAAACGGTGGCTCGTAAGAAAAACAGTATTGATTCATTTTTTATAGATAATTTTATGATCTACAATTTTTGTATGAAGTAATTTTATGATAAAACTTACCGTTTTGCTGAAAATCGTGAAAAACTCATTTTTTTGACTTTTGACTTTGAATAAAAAAAATTCCTTACACGGGAATGATGGGGAACTTCTAGACATTGTTTATAATTATGTTATAAACAATTTCACAGAAATTCAGCTTGTTGGGACTTTATGTAACTTCGAATGTCTAAATTGACCGGAGTATCTTCCACTTTGACGAGAATTGCCTCGCAATGGAAAGTTTATTGTGTCCGTGTAAACAGAATTTCAAACGCAATAATCTTATTTCGAGGTTTTGTGCCAGTTGCTACCATGAGTGCAGTGCTTGAGGGTGTTTTCATTATTAGTACAAGAATGAATTAAACGAAAATGGAAAAAAGATTTTGGGTACAAAAATCGTATTACATAATCGTAGGCGAGAATTTAGTTCTTGCCTGTATGTAAACATTTTGATACGATAATGCTATGGCGATTATTGCTGGTGATATTCGCGTACGATTTCTCGCACCGAAACGTACTAGAAACTCTTTCCATCTAAATGGGCCTTAAACAGACGCAGGAAATCATCGCCTAGCGATAAATTCCTGGCGATTCTCGTATGACATAATCGTAGGCGAGAATTTAGTTCTTGTCTGTATGTAAACATTTTGATACGATAAAGCTATGGCGATTATTGCTGGCGATAGTCGCGTACGATTTCTCGCACCAAAACGTACGAAAAACTCTCTCCATCTAAAAGGCCTTTAAAGAGGTTTTTAGAAATCAAAATTATCACTATTCCACTAACTCTTTGGGATTTATTTTATTTTGGCTTTCGTTGAGTGCAAAATTTCCAAATGTTTAAACGCAAAAATAACGTTTTTATTTCGAATTTTATGAACATTTTAAAAAGTTCGGATGTCCCGGCATTAAATTATTTGGTGATAAAATAAATTTTTAAAAAGAATTATAGTTAACTTTTTGATTAGCAATACGAACTTAAAGCACCTCGCTTCGTGTGCAAAAGGATTACTCGTACATTTTATTGGTGGTTCAAATGAATCTTTTTGAAAAAAGATTTCTTCTATTAATTTTAAAAGTTAATAAAAATACATACTTCAAACATAAATGTATCAACTTCTTCTCTGACAGCCTCTTCATCGATTCGTTTTCCATCAATTTTGGAAAGCAATAATAAATCGAGGAATGCGTGCTTATTTCTTATACCTGGAATTAAAAATATGGAAACGCCTTTAGGAGTTCTGTGTGGATATGCCTTAAGGCCATTTGCCTATTTAGAACGCGCCGTTACAAACAGTAGCGTGAGTAGTTGTCTTTGATATTAAAGCAATTAATTGATAATTATGAGATAATATTGAAAAAAAGAAAGCCACGCAAGGCCATGCGCGGTTAAGCGGTTAAGTGAGGACACGGTCATAATGGAAAAAATAATATTAATTGTTTTAGTTTGTGGTAAAAACTATTAAACTTACGATGCTTTAAACATATTTTTAGACTCAACATTGTTGTAAAACATAAACACAGCTTGTACAGCAATTAAAATTTGGTTAACGTATTGTGCATATTACCCATTTCATAACGAAATATTTATTTATGTCGTAATCCTACAGCTATTTATTTATTTATTTTAAGCTTATCTTATTTCCTAATACAAAAATATCTAACTATCTCATGTGTTAGTTAATAAATCCTAAATAACAGCTCGGGATAGAGAAAGATGGCAAGCCTTGGAGGAGGCCCTTACCGGAGAGGGTTCCTGATACTTATTAACTGTAAAAAAAATCCTACAGCTAACAAAAATTATATACGAGTATACGTAATAACAAACAATTATAACACTAAAAATATAGCCAGAGATAAAATACATAATTTTTAACTGCAAAAAGGTTCAAAAATTTACAAAAGGAAACAAACAATAACAATTATTCATTACATTTAACTAGTTAGTAATTTGGCTATGATGTGTGGTGGTGTAAAAGTGAGGGTATGTACGTGGAGGTGTGTAGGTGGGGTATGCTCATGATGCATGTGATTTTGCACTATGGATATTCTAATACTCCTTTTAACCATATTCCGCGATAGTTTAAACAAGTCAAGGCTTAAATATCGGCCGTTGTATGACCGGGCTTATATTATCGTATATTTAATATTATAGTAAATAAAATATTTATTTATTTCCAACACACAAATATATGTATGTTATTTACAATTTTCTTCACCTACATAGCAATAATAATAAGAAAATTAAAACAAATTTTAAAAGTGGTCCCTGTGGCGGTCCTTTTTAAACTGGCAGCATTTCCTCGCTGTATTGCGATATTTATTTGTTGAGATATCACCAGTACTATCTACCAGACGCCAACTTAAATATTTAATTAGCGCCTGTGCACTTGAACCCCACGGCTCAAGAGCCGCTACTCCAAAGGGAACAAAATCGAAGTTGGAGGAAAGACTTTTATATTTAAGCCGTTCATTATTTTCCGAGGGAGGTAAGACTGGTCCGAAGGAGGAAAGACTGGTCTAACGTGTACACACAAGCATCCCATACCAAAGCCAAATTGTTAAGTTAATTTTGTGTTACTATATTAATAAATTCATAAGTATTTTGTATTCTACTAAAAGTACATAACAATCGGTTTTTTATAAACGTCTAGTCATAATGTAATGAGGTCAAATGTTATTTAAATTTAGTTGCATAAAACGGATATCTACTATGCATAAGAACGTTGCTTAGTAGATATTCTGCTTTACCGTCTATGTATCGAATATTACTATGTATTACGCTTTGTATTATATCTATATGAAAATTAATATCATATTAACATTAAAAAAATAATCTTTAGTAATCTATGATAAAAAAGGACATACAAATTGCCTGCCTGCGGACAGGGAATATATTCACAAAAACATCCAAGGAATTGGATTTTAAACTAAAAAATACATTTTTCTACAAATTCTTTGCTCTCACAAAAACACAAAGTTATTTCGAAACATTAATAAGTTTTTACGGCAATCGTGCTAGTTATCTACATAAAATAACTGTACTTTGAAAGACTTCTTGTTTTTACGGTTCTTTAAAATCTATATAGAGTACACAACATGTTAAAACTAATAAGATCTAATTTTCTTAATGTACATAGTAGTAATAAAAATTAATCGAAAGAAAATTAATACAAATTTAAAAAGTGTGGTCGCTGGCAGCATTTCCTGGCTGAATTGCGATTCTTATTCGTAGAGCGACGAAAGCACCGTTATCTGGTGACCCCAGGTCACCAGATAACACAATATCTAATTGTCTTTGATTTTTACCAAATAGTACAAGTTTAACTTTTAAAATCAACGCAAGAGTAGGTCACGCACGTTATGAAGCTTTTGTTTGTATCTTGATTTAATTTAAAAAAGTAAAAATCCTTGTCTTCACTGCCGACCACTTCTTTTTCCGTGAACATCGGCTTTAAAGTTTTAGTCAAAAATTAATAAAAAATTGCCAGAGTTTAATTTACGCATATTAATTTACACGATTATAAATTTATTACATCAGACAAATTAATTTCATTTAATTAACTGAAAGTGACCTTAGAACGCAAATCTCCTTAACTGTCCGTTTTTTTTGCAATAAGTTTATTAAAAAATCATAGACAGAAATAGTGTGTTTTTATTGGCCTTACACGTGTGATTTAATACCTAGCAATAGCTGCCACGGATATTAAAATAATATTTGCCTAGAGTTATGTAACCTAACTATAGTTAAGTTACATATAAATATTTTAGGTAATAATTAGAAGCGTAAACCAAATGTCAACAATCATAGTACACTGGAAGCCACACACACTTAAAAATTGTATTTTAACATTCTCGTTTCCGATAATGTCCAATAACATAAGTGTCATGTAGATTTATGAACCCTTAAATAAGCTAAGTTTGTTTTTTGTAAACATCGCCATCCTTCTACCCCTAATTTTGTGTTAGTCATAAGCTCATCATTTTTTGAAGTGTCTTTGAACATATCCATATAAACACCGCCACCAAACTTAATTCTAGTCTATAGATATTTAGTCTTAGCTAAAAAAGAAAATTTTAAACTTTACCGAATTCCGTGTTTTCTGGAAGACTATCGATATTCGCTTGCTTCAATTCCTCTTTTCGTATCGCAAGAACTTTTTTAGTGTGTCCGTGTAATATTTTTATTGCTTCGTCGTGTGATTTTTTGTATGGCGTTAGGCGAAATATTGCTTCTTCAGCTACGAATGGATTTCGCATTTTTAATGATATGATTTGACTTAACCTGAAAAACAATTAAATTTTTTATCTTATCTCTGCCACAACCATAACCTTACTGGTGATTTTGGCCATTCTCTCCACAAAAACCACCAAAAAGGATTACAAAAAATATACTCGTATTAGTCCAGCCGTCTTCGAGTTTTTCGCATAGCAACATATTTTGCGATTCCTTTTTATTTATATAGAAAGAAAACTTATCGTTTAGTAAGTCTTATTTTAGGAAAGAAATATAGTGTAGCGGCAAAGCCAAAGAAAAGTTGACCGAGGGGCAAGTGGAGTGCGGCGTAAAAGTATATGGGAACACCAATCAAAAGTGTGACCGCGCGTCGGCGGTTGTGATTCTTCTCTGCAGCGCGGGAGCATGAAGAATAGTTCCCTCCTCCAGCAACAGAGACCGAGTGGTATTTAGGGAATCGGTGCGGTAAGGACAGAAAATGAGAACAGAGAGGGCTATCTACTTGGATGGCGTGAACATGTAGTATTTAAAAAAATATGTAGTCTGCATTTTTACATTATCTTACTATACCCGTTTAATACATTTATCTTAAACGAAAATATAAGATAAGGAACCTTGTCGAGTACCGATATTTCGTGTAAATAATACAGTACATGTGTACTTACGTTTCAATACTTTTCACGTAATTTGAATTACTATTCTCTTGCGTATTGAATGAAACACCCATTATTGACTCTGAAAAAATCTTGTTCATTATACCAAACACAAGTATTACGGTTGCTGTAGAGCTAAAATGTTAATTAAATATCATACAAATTAAATATCATACAAATTAATAATATATATTTTAAATAATTATTTGATTTTAGTCATAATAATTGTGAACTGTGGAACCAGCGACCTACTTACGTATTACCGAACCAATTCGACTTAGGGGCCTTCAAGATAGGAGCGTGCCAATTCTTAAAAGGCCGGCAACGCACTTGCAAGGCTTGCTTGCAAATATTATTTGAAACCAAATTTTTAGAGCATTGGCATATTATATATTTTACATAAGATTTTTTATAGAACAAGAGGCAACCTGATGTTATGTGATACCTCCGCCTATGGACACTCACGCTGCCAGAAAGATCGCAAGTGCGTTGCCGGCCTTTTAATAATGGGTACGCTTTTGAAGGATAAGTCGAATTGGTTTTATATAGTTTGTCTATAGATAGAGAATTTTCTGAGTAAGTAAGTTAAAGACTCTTTCTATCGAAAAATCATATTCAGGCGGGAGATGCTGTGGGCGAAATCTAGATTAGTATATTCTATAATTACCTGTGATATTATCTAGAGCGGTGAGAGCGATAATGGGGAACAGATCGAATGACTTTTCGTCGCAGTAGCTCTTTCTGAGTTTGTTTATCAAAATCTTTTCATTCTTGATGAAAACGGGTAAGAAATTTTGCAAGATATTAAAATGAAATGCGGGCGTGAGGAACTTTCTATGCGTGTGCCATCTGTGACCTGAAAATTAATAAGTGCCTTTGTGTAATATCTATTTATTAATTATAATGAAAATGAATGACTTATTACCTCTACAAGAGACTGTATGGAGTGTATCCGCTTATGTACCCGACCCTGTTTGTTCTGGGTATGGTGGGTTTTGACCAGCTACGCCTCAGAAGAGAGCTAGCTTTGTCAGTGTATTTATTTAAGAAACTTACGGGTCGGGTTCATAATCTAGATATAATGGAGAGACTGAGTCTACGGGTACCAAGTAAAAACCTGAGGCGGTAGTCTCAACTTTTGGATGTAGTACCGCGCGCACATTCCAACTTGGTAAGCGAAGCGCCACTCATATAATAAATAGAATTTCTGTTTTTTTTGCTTCCTATATTATTAGTTATAAGATTTAGGTGTATAAATATATTTTTTTAATGTTTTTTATCTAGTGTAATATTGTGTGGGTAATATTGTGTCGTTCTATCGAATTAGTACTAACTTTAAAGATAGAATAATAATATGGAATAAAATAAAATAAATAAATAAATAAATTATACTGTCTATTATTATCTAAGTAATGTCTATGCATTTTTCCATAGTTACTTGCTAATGTTGTCTTAAAATGAAAATAAAAGTAGGTTAAACTTTTATTTTTATACAAAACAGTGATTAATTTAATGATTATACAAAGTATTGATACACTAATGACGCTTTCAATCTACGGCTACACTGCGATGACGTCATAGCCTGACACGCGTTAGCAAAATTGTTTCGCTACATATAGAACTTCTCTACCTTAGTAACAAAATGATGTCCAGAATAGTAAATTACGTATGTAAAGTTTCTCTCTTTCTCTCTTCGGTAGCTCATGTCTGAGTATCGTGGTCATCAATGAAACATCTGAAGCGGGCTATTTGCTTCCATCAGCTTCTGTCCAGCCCCACTCTTACTACTACTATGGTATCTAATACTATGATTGAATCTAAGTAATAGTTCTGATTTCATTACGACCATGAAACGAGAGATCAAAGAAATGACTAACGTTTATATCCGTTTCAATTTATTTCTTATTTAGAATGTACTAAGTAGGGTAGGGCGGGGCTAGTTGAGCAATTTTTCACTTGCTTGGATATAGCTCCTCAATGATAAGTCTCAATGAGTTGTTTAGTGTCCTGATGGATTAGTAATTTATCCCTTAACAAAAGTGTCCATAGTATTTTTTTTGTAACAAGTCCAATATAATAGCTACAGATGTTTAAATGCAGAAAGTCAAGTATGCTCAATGTACCCCATAGGTGGGGTAAGTTGAGCAAGGGTATGGGGCAAGTTGGGCACTAAGAATGTCTAGGCCAAACCATGGGTTCTATGTTAACTTGAGATGAAATAAAATATGTGTTAGACAGTCAGCTTTTTGTTTATAGTCTTTTATTGACAGAACAACAAAATTTGAAGAAATTTTCTTTGTATAATTAACCGAAACTAGAATCAACAAAACATGAGCATCCATATCTATCCATTACTTCCGATAATTTCTAAAAAAAGATTACCAAGGCTGGTGGGTTCTGGTTTCTGTATGGATAGCTACGATTTTTTTTGTTTTTAAAACATCATCAACCATTTTTTTCCGGAAATCTTTTTTGCAATTCAGCTTGGTGGAATTTCAGCACACTCTTAGGCAAGGCGACGGACGTCTTTTGGAAAAAAATGCCATTTGCAGCAAGAATTTTTTCAACAGTTCTCTTGTGAGAGAGGATATACTTCCCTCGGTGTTGTATAGCCCATAAATGAATCATCACCTTCATTTAATTTATTTAAAAGTCAACCAATTCAGAATTCTTTAGCGGCGGTATTCACACTTTTTCCCTCATCGTGGACAGCCTTTGCAGCATTATTTAAGTATTCAGTAGTGTAAGAACATCTTGTAGTCTTTCTCTTGTAAGTCCGCATCCAAACAAAAAATAAAAGATTCATTACTCATCAGTTGTTTAAGTCGTAGAGTTAGTTGAGCTATAGTTGCTCAACTTACCCCAACCCGGAATTTTAAAAGAAAAGTAGGATTGTAAATAAATGCCTAGAATTAGACCCAAAACCTATTTACAAATCAAAAAATACAATAATCTTCTGAAAGATTAACACTCTCCTGATTGAAAACAGAGAACATTTGACAAAGACAGACGAAAACTTGCGATAAACAATGTTTTTACTTTTTGGTCACAAAATAAACAAAACGCCGTGACACTTCACTCACTCGTCGAGCTGCCACTAGCTATTGTGCGATGATTACCTCTCCTACCACTCCTTCTTTTCGCTATTTGATACTCCCGCGTAAGGTGAATAGTTTCCGAGATATTTCGATTGCCCAACTTGCCCCTATGCTCAACTAGCCCCGCTCTACCCTACTAATAAAAAACAAATCCGCTTGACTAACTAGCGCGTTTATTAATGAAACCTTTATAAAATTTATATTTTCATTGCTTACATAGGACTTACTATAAACAATTCAACATAGAGTCCTTCAAGAAGAGAGAAGAAGAGAGCGTACCAATTCTTAAAAGGCTGGCAATGCACTCGAGCCCTCTGGCATTCAGAGACTGAGGCCGTTCTAGTATTACGTAAGCAGATTTACTGCAATTTATCCCCCCTCCCCTTCCTCTTGTCAGCAAAAGTTAGCAAAGCTCTCATTGCTGTTGACGTAATCACCAAATAAGAAAATCAAAGACTCGCCCCCCCAAAGTGCTTATGTAATACTTGAACGGCCCCAGTGTCCATGGGCGGCGGTATCACTTAACATCAGGTGACCCTCCTGCCTGTTTGCCCCCTGTTCTATAAAAAAAACATACCCGTAGATGTTAGAAGTCCAAATCCAAGCCAGTCATGAAGGTAGGTATATGATTTCCCTTTGGTTATTAATTCCGTACTTGATATTAGAGGCTGAAATTATAATATACAATTATTCATGCAAATAAGGTAAGGTATTTTTTTTAAATAAAACATATAGATATAATTGTTATTATTAACTTAAATAATATTAAGTAGCGATAAGGCAGGTCGTTTTTCTTCTTTTTAAGTTTATCGTTTATCGTAATTTTGTTATTTAATTCATGTGCAAAAAGTGTAAATAAATAATAATAAATGATAAATAATTATAACTTAAAGAAATACAAAACTGAGCAGTGTTGTATGGTATGAGGGAGCGCCTCCAAAAATTAAAGTAAAATAAAGATCGTGAAAGTTAGATCATCATTAAATGTAAACGTGATAAAAACTAGTGGGTTATAATTTTATTCTTATTAAAAAATGTATCGTATAAAGAACGAAACCGACCGAGTCCAAAATCTGTTAAACCTGTCCTATGCTCAAACCGAAAGTATTCTTCTTGTGCAACAATAGTTTTCTTAAGAAATGTTTATGTAGAATTTATTAAAATAAAAAATAAAAATAAAATAAAATATGTTTATTATGGAACATAAGATACATGTATCACTTATTCCACGTCATTAAATTTGAATTTGTAGGCATCCCTACTCATCGGCAAAGAAGACAGAGGGTGTAGGCCGAGAGAAAAAGCCGGCGTAAAAACTCTCGGTACTCTTTTAAAATAGCAAATCATCAAACAACACTTATTTTAAAACAAATATCGCAAATTAATTAGAAGTAGCCTGTAGCACTAGACCCAGGCCCTTTTATTAACTAGATAATCGTTAACTTTATAGTAAGCCTTTTTACACAGCTTTTATTTAATACATTTCTTAAATTTATTAAAACGCAGAGATAAAAGAGCCTCTGGGATTTTATTAAAGAAGAGTATCCCTTTTCCCAAAAAAGAATTACTAATTTTAGATAGTCTAGTACGGGGAAATTGCAGCCTGCGTTTGTTCCGTGTATTAACATTGTGCGTATGTTCTATTCTAGTAAACTTATCACTATTTTTTTATACATACATAATATTTTCATAAATATATTGCGAGGGAAAGGTATATTAATTTCCTTGAATTTATCGTAAGAGATTTAAGTCAAGTACATAAATCATTAATATGTCAAATGGAAAAGACAAGCTTCCCACGACGTAGGGAATCCCAGTGTGGGGGCTAGTGCATTTTCTCTTTTAACTATACATCATTTGTATTGTGTAATAAAGTTGTTATTTATTTCTTTCTTTTTATGAATTGGTGTATTTTACGCGAAGTTTTAGTATGTCTCACCTCAATGTACTTTGGATGATACAACAGCACATAAGGGTCGTGGAATAGATGCACTCGGACTGCGTCTCCATAATCCCTTTGAAATCCATGGAGCAGAGGAAGAAATTCTAAAAAATATAAAAGTATTTTTAGTCAAATATTATGCAAAGTTTCTTTTGACACCCACCCTATTACAGCCTCTTTGTACGCTGTGTTGCTTATATATGTAAAATTCCTATAGCTTATTAAATTTATGTTCTATATAGCCAATATTTTAATTTTTGAAGTGAAAACTTCTTTAGCAGCGTTGTACACTTTGGGTAAAAAATGTTAAACTCGCGTCAGGACACGTGACCTAATCGAAAATTCGTAAGACGGACGGAGAGTAGACAGCTGGCGCAGCGTATGTAATATAAATTGTAATGTTTGTGTACGTTAGCGCAATAAATAAATATTGTATTCTACCACATAAATTATAGTACTTTTATAATGATAATTAAAGCAATTCGTGCGAAATTATTCCCTAACCATTCCAAAATATCAAAAATGCACAACGTTACTATTCAAGTTTTCATTTCTGCCGGCACTCCCAGAGTGCAATGACTAAGTAAAGATAATAAATAAATAAAACTATCACAACAACGATTGGTAAGCAATGCACTCTTTATCGGACTTGACCTCGGATTCCTACGTTTGCCTCAATGGAATTGATTTCATTGTATATCCGTCGTCGATTTTTGTGTCTCAGAACGGATAGAACCGTCCATTAAATAGTTTGTTGATTAATAATCATTAATTGATGCCCGAAAAGTTAAGGATTGATTCTAGTAAGCAAACGATTAATAGCTTCTTATTAGAAGCTGGTGGTGGATGGTGGATGGTAAAATAATTTAATCTTCGCTAACGTATACAAGGAAAGTGCACAGAGAGAACCTACCCTTTTACGTTCACCTCATTATGCTGAACTTTCATTAACCACTGTAATATTATTGTATATGAATGTACAATCAAAGAAGATACTGTAATCTAGGACTCACTTCTCGTAACTGAATCTAAATAGCGCTTCCAAATTCTCTTATAAGGCCTGACTATAAAAATATCGAAATGTATTAATGGCGCCAAAAGCTTGCAAAATATACCTCGCCACACGCATAACGCATGCGCTATTGCGGTCGCTGCCAAAGATTCCTATTTGAATATTATATTATGTATAGCACCTGATACATGCCGCTTAAAACAATTATTTATCATATGATACTCCATATGTTACGTAATGAAGCGGTTTACCCTCCCATAAGATCATTATCACTTCAATAAAGGTAACATTGGCTTACTATAGGAATTACGTAGAAATTTTTAAAAGTCTATAAAAGCTCATATAATAAAAATATAATACATTGGTCGAAATGTTCATTTTACCAATTAAACTAATCAGAATTATAATATAACTAAATCGATTATTATATTTTAATAAAATTATTCTGTACATTGCGGGGACTGTATTATTCCTAATCATGAATGATGATTTTTTTCTTAACTTGTAGGTATTTACTATAGGTATCTACTTATATTTCTATATATATGAAAAATGGTCTTCGTTTGAGGCTCCTTCACGCCTAAACCACTGATCGTATCGACATGAAATTACTGCCATTCGATGCGTCAATTCGTAAATTCCAACGTTCCTTCACGTCAACGTCAACATCTGTTAAAAACTCGATTTTCGAAAATTTTCAATTTTCTTAGCGGGAAGTTAAAAAGAAGAATAATAAAAATATGAAAAAATAATAATAATGAAACATAAAATTTTATTAATTTCCGATTTTAATTCGCCCAGCGAAGCGGGCGGGAATCGGCTAGTGTATATATAAGTTCATTGAACATAATATTGCCAGATAGTGTAATATTGTCATAATTGTGCACTGAAAGTTACTTAAAGTTTTATTATTGCATATCTATTCTTAATTTAGTTTTTATTTATCTATGAATTTTTTAGTTTTATTTATATCTCATTATTTCATTATTTGTGTTTGGTATTTTATGAAGCATCTTAAGCGAGATAAAAAAACATGTGCGTACTTATGTACACGCGTTAGAAGTTATACTACTTTGGCGTAACAAGATAAAAATCATTTCAAAAATTATATTCTACGTTTGTAGAAAAAACGAGACTAACAATAGAAAAAACTAAAATGTTGACTATAGCTAACTTCAGAGTGTCTGCTTTTTGTGACGGAGTGCGGGCGCATCGTAAAATTTACTCTCATCATTTTCCCTAACGCTTCAAAAGAAGGATAACTTCAAAAATATTAAAATAAGTAATTAAGCTTTTTATTGTCACCGCCATTATGGTCTAAGATCCGGCTACAGGATTAGTGCCTTCATCGGTTATTTGCTAAATACCAAATTTTTATGTATATTTATAATTAGGAGAATAATATATGTACCAAGTTGCCTTTCAAAATTTGGCCGCTAGTATTTTTTAAATACTTAAAAGCGTCGCCCAGCCGGTTAACGCGTAACATCATTGGCCTCGTCTGACAAATGATGTTACAGGTTAACTCTCTTAAATCGCTCTACTATAAATATTTATCATCTTCAACAGCCAGCTACCCTTATTTAATTACTAGTTTTACTATTAATTGTAATTTGCCGTGATGTATGTAATACAATTAAAAATACTAGCGGCCAAATTTTTATAGGCAACTTGATGCATATATATTCTCCTAATTATAAATATAAATAAAAAATTGGTGTTTAGCAAATAGCCGATGAACGCACTAATCCTACAGCCGGATCTCGAAATATCATGCATTTGCATATAATTAAAAAAAGTATTATTGTATGAACTTGACAATTGCTGTTTATTTTAACACAACGGATTAAGTGTAATTTCGAAGCTCTTTTTTTTAAAGCATGATGTACAGTGCGAAACACACAGTACTCTATGAAAAGTGTACTTATTATTCTTTGTTTATTGTAATGCACATGCACGCATTACGTTACGTTTTTATCCAATAAATATATATCTAATAGACAGTTCTACTCCTACGAAATTTAATCTCCATGACAGCATAAAGCAATAAAAGTCCTCTTTTTCGAACTAGGTATGGTAGAATTTTTTCATTATTTATTAAATATATTACTTACCTGTTCTTTTAACAAACAATAAATGTGCGTTTCCAACAACAGGCAGGGGCATAGGTCCCGGTATATTATAAGATTTTGTATACCTTAAAAGTGATAGCCAGGAAGAAATTGTCAAAAACGTCAGCGCGATTACAATTAAAAACTCTATCATTTTATTGTCTTTTGGACGACCAACCCTCAACATTTCTCAATTAAGACTATTTAACAGTAAACAAGCCAATTGCATAAAATAAATTCTGTTATGATTAAGTTACATTGACTTTATCCGACTGTAAATTATATTGATTCCCGCCTAAACGTACAAGCATAATGTCATGACAGTCCGTGACAGGTTATTTATTGTTTACTAGCGGACCCGACAGACGTTGTCCTGTTTTAACTATGAATATTGATTTCAAATTGGTATAATTAATTAAAAACAATTTCAGAAACAAAGTGTTTATTACTCGAATACTTTATGTTATACAACATTCTTTGTTTGTTTTTCTGGCTCGCATATTATTATGTTATCAATACAATAACTCCGATCGAAGCATTTATTTTAAACGATATTCATTTTTCTTACATCCTCTTTGACGATATTTGCTGCACGCATTCTGTCAATGTTATGTCAAACGCCATAGGGTTACATCAAAAAGTTCGAATTGTATGGTGGTTAAGTATTCTTAAATTTTCTAATTTTCCGCGCAATTTTTTTCTTTTTTTCTTTTATAAAAACCTTCTCCTGACAATTATAAACACAACAAAAAAAATCTGACAAATCGGTCAAGCCGTTTTCATGTTATGTCGTGACAACGGAAAACGGGTTTCATTTTTATATAGGGGAAGATCGTTACCCTTCGTACGCGGGGCACATTCATACAGTCAAAATAAAACTTGAACGAAATAAAGTACAGTCTTGCTTTTGTATGTGTGCATGAGTCGAGGTACCAACTATACATCAACGAAGTTTCGTGAAATTCGCACCGATGAGAGTGAAGTTACAGGCATAGACGTGTTTTCGCGCTCGGTAAGTAATTTTTTGATCTATGTTTTTATCTCTTGTTACCGTAGATAAAATAAGTTTTCGTGTAGAGTATTCTATCAGTAACTAGCAAAATATACTTAAGATACGTCTCCAATACTTAATTTATGAAGTTTTCCTATTAATATTAAAATAAGTTATATTTTGTTGTTATTCAGTTAGTGGGGTACATTCGGACAGCACTAGATGGGGCACATTTGTACGAATTGTACAACTAAATTTGTATAATAATTTGTCGACGCGAACTGTCTTTTTCATACAAATTAAGTTTTCGACTTTCTACATATTACACTACTGTTAAGGCATCTTGACTAAGGTTGATTTTGATGCTTGTGAACCAGATGCTGTGAATAATTTACCAATCCATCAAATAGTAGTTCCTTCGAAGTCAGTTTTGACACCAGAGGCATTTCGACCCTATTCGCATTCTGTAAGAAGTAATAAAACAAGCAGAATGACGATGACGGCCAGGAAAACCACGAATTTATACTGCCACACCCGAAAATAAGAAGTTGTAATCCACACCAAAGAGTAAAAAATGTAATTCTAAATTTAAGATACCTAACTAATTAAATTTTGTTTTACATAAGAAAAGTATTTTATTTTTGTTTAATAGAAATTAAATCTTTATTTTTGTGTTTAATTTCATTGCTAATAAATGAATTTTGAACTACCCCACAGCGTAAGAAGGTACCCCAAACACTGTACGAAGGTGCCCCGTTGATGGGGCAGATTCGTACGTTTTCCAGATTTAGTTTAAATCATAATTATGGTTGAAACATCGGATGAAATCATTTGTCATTTTTTTATTTGAATCTCAGATAGTTAGACTATAAATTTAAGCTATCAGGTGATTGATTCATGGAAAAATAAAAAAATTAAAAAATAAAATGTGAAAACCGTACGAAGGGTCCCCACCTTCCCCTATATAGATATATTGTTTTATTAAGTAAAAAATCATATCAATAAAATACTTTGGAGAAAGGTAGGCATTTGGGAAAACTAGAGTATTTTTGGTAAATTATTAATTATTAGAATAACTAAAATTTATTACAAAAAACCAGCGATGAGTAAGCCAGCTAATTCTTAGCAACAAAAATGATTGACAAAAAAAATTAATTAGATATACAATATATGTATGATTTTAATACTAAATAAAGAAGGTTACATTAATTTTTCTTATATGATTAGATTTTTTATACGTTTGAGTTGGTAGCTTAAAGATTTGAAATAATATTAAAATAATTATCCATGGAAATAGCAAGGCCATTACCTACTATGATTTGCAACATATATACGTAGTCCAGTCAAATTATGGCTAAAAACGGGTTAAATAAACATGAGCGAACACAGTTTGGGGATTTTGAGGATCGATAGGGGGGTGTATTCTGAGCATAAATTCCAATTTGAGGGGTTGTACTGAGGTCAGCTCAAGGTCATTTCGATGGAAACGCGTTTAATTCGATATCTCGAGAATGGTTAGTGTTAAGCGAAAAACTGTAGAGACCTTTTCTTTTCCTAACTAAATTTACTAACTTTTTTATCTGAAACTTTTTTTTATAACATTAATATTTTTCAAGTTATTACTCCCGCAAGGCAAAAATTTTACTTTTTTTTCCATTTTTCGTCGTTTTCTCCCCAACCATTCAATTTTATTAAATTTTACCGATCATCGAAGTGTAGATCTTTTAATTATGAACAATTTTGTTCTTGAGCTTTTTTCCGTAATGCCTATACCTTCGGAGTTATAGATTACTTTACCGAGCGAAATCCGCGCCATTGTCGCAACGTGTATCCACAGACACACTGTTGCGTATTAGTGCGAGTAAAGTCGGAAACACACTTACGTGACCCTCACCGCAACTCAAGATAAGTTTTTAGGCAACGAGAGCAATAAGACCAGATTCATCTCACTACTGAAAACGGTTCTAATCAAATCAGACATAGAGGTGGAGCAAGCTGTAGAGGATGCGGATAGTCTAATTATCAGTACGGCTAAGAGAATTTCGCAGGAATATAGTGCTGCGGTTGTTATTGGTGAGGATGTGGATTTGCTGGTTTTGCTGACTGCAACAGCTGCAACAACATTTACTTGAGAAAACCTGGCCGAGGCAAATCGACGGACGCTACATATAGCCCATACTGCCTCAAACCGATATATGGGCCGAATGCCGCAAAAAACCTTTTATTTTTGCACGCGGTTAGTGGTTGCGACACAACGTCGGCACCATTCAACCTAGGCAAGATGAAAACAATGACCGCATTGAAAAAATCTCCGGATTTGCTTTCGCTAAGTGAAGTTTTTCTGCAAGACAAAGCAGATAAAACAACTATCGCTTCAAACGGCGAACAATTCATTTTGAATTTGTATCGCAAGGCAGGTGACATGAATGGTACCAATCTCAACGAGCTCCGATATAAGGGATATAAAAAAATGGCAGGCAGTGGGAGGGTTAAATTAGAATCCCTTCCTCCTAAGTCTGATGCGGCATTTTTCCACTCGTTGAGGTGTTTCTACCAAGTTCAATACTGGCTGGAAAATTATCTGGAACCCGAGGAATGGGGCTGGCGTCGCACCCCCCGTGGATTGCAGCCGATAGCGATGTCATTGAAACCAGCTCCGGATAATTTAATGAGATCGATTGCGTGCAAATGCAAAACCAAATGCGGCAAAGCGTGCGGATGCAGAAAGGCCGGCCTCTTTTGCTCAGTGATTTGCACCAATTGCCAAGAGAACTATTGTTCGAATGTCGCGAACGTTATCGACGATGATGATCTTGACGCAATGGACAAGGACGACGTATGCCCCGATACCGTCAGGACCACGAATATTCACGCATCACTTCCATCGACCTCGGGTGCTTAATATTCCGAATTTTATAACCTATTTTTCTATCAATAAATGTGTGAAACAGTTTTAATTGTTAATTTACTTCTTACCCAAATTTACCCAAATTAAGTACCTAATTTTTAAATAGTTTAATCGATTGACCTTTTTATATTGCGACAGTGGCGCGGATTTCGCTCGGTAAAGTAATCTATAACTCCGAAGGTATTGGCATTACGGAAAAAGCTCAAGAACAAAATTGTTCATAATTAAAAGATCTACACTTCTTTGATCGGTAAAATTTAATAAAATTAAATGGTTGGGGAGAAAACGATGAAAAATGGAAAAAAAGTAAAATTTTTGCCTTGCGGGAGTAATAACTTGAAAAATATTAATGTTATAAAAAAAGTTTCAGATAAAAAAGTTAGTAAATTTAGTTAGGAAAAGAAAAGGTCTCTACAATTTTTCGCCTAACACTAACCATTCTCGAGATATCGAATTAAACGCGTTTCCATCGAAATGACCTTGAGCTGACCTCAGTACAACCCCTCAAATTGGAATTTATGCTCAGAATACACCCCCCTATCGATCCTCAAAATCCCAAAACTGTGTTCGCTCATGTTTATTTATTTTGTAATTTGACTGGAGTAATAGTTTTAGAAAGAATGAATAAAGGGATGTTACTAGATAATATTACGATACTTGCGCGTACTCGACTGTGTGCAACTAATCACATTTTGCGACCTGTATATCTGTTGTTGATTAGATATCCGTAAACGCGTTATGGCGGTAATACCACGTATACCACCAGTGGAGGTATAACGAAATATCTAATCAGGGAACGGGTTAGCTGAGGCTACAGCGACCTTAAAGAAAAGAATCCCTAAACTTTCTGTGGCAATGACAAACCACTACTCAATACTTTTCCCTACTAGTCAGTAACTACAAAAGAGTCTTATAAAACCGCGGCCCCGAGTTCCTGGCGTTCCTTTGATGGAACATGGGTGCGAAGAGTCAACAAGGTGCAGATGCATTAGATAAAAAAAAACTCTTTTCGAGTCGGGACAAAACATAAAACAACGAAACATGTTACGCTATGACCGCTACCATCTGTTTCAATTAATGATATTTAGTAAAGTCCAGATAATAAGGATAAAATTATGCCTGCGGATTGTTGAGGGGGTGGACGGGTAATAGGACTGCTGAAGAGTTGCTGCAATGACGTCTCACCTCCAGTAAAGGAGAGGCATCACAAGAAGATATTGTTATGAACTAAGTAATCATCTTTAGGTCATAAAAA